TTAGCGTTTTTTTGTGACCGCTACAACGGTTTCGTGCGACCAGTTTATTTGGTCTTGTGGTCTACAATTTGGGTCTTTGTGCGCGTTTAATTTGCTATAGAATTTGGGTCGTGTAGACCGCCTCGAATTAGTTTGTCTAAGTTGTACGTTTCGGACAAGAGGCTTTTATTGAATTTGACTGATTAAAGTTAAAGTTAATGTTTAATTGTACCGTCGCGTGAAGTGCCATGTGTGTTGACTATGCAGTGAGTTTGCGGGCGTAGTATTTAATATCGTACGAAGGAATTTAGTTTGTTGTTTGTAACGCTGAACTTTGTGACTCGAGAAGATATCGCGTTCTTTCCTGTTTGTAATTTGGTGTAAAATGAATCCGGAGCATCGAATACTGAATTTTGAACGACTGTTCGTTACTTGTGTCGGGTGTCACGTGTTTGATTTCGATGAACGTTGAATTTAGTTGAGTTTGAAGTTAATTAAATGTACAATAAAGTTGATAGATTGAAGTGAAATAAATAGTGAAATGAAGAAAGAAGTGTCAATTGGTGACGTCCGCTGGAGTGATACAACATTGTGAGGCAGCATCGGACCAGGCCGCTGCCCGATCACCTCAGCTGGGTCAGGTCACATATATAAACAATACCACACACACTACTTACATGCACCTAAACCACTACCGCCTGACCGAGCCTTGGGGCAGTCTTAGCTTCGGAACCAGGTACGTACTATATATTTACCTAGCCTTATATCTATTGTGTAGGATGATAAGTCTCCATAGGCCGTTGGGCCCCACCCTTAGTTGTCCGTTGAATCTACCGCTGATGGGCCCCGGGATATTTGACGTTTGTTGGGGCAGCTAGGGGCGTGTACATTTTTGGTAGCAGAGCATGGTTTGGATTAGTTTGATTGTTTCTACAATCCCCCGGCCGTAATACGTAATAAAAATATTTTTTTTTGTTTTGTGAGCGGGTACAATTGAAACCGCGCCCGTTAGGCTGAGCAAGCCGGGGTACGACTTTCCATTGACGTCCGTCGAGTTTGGTGTTGATACGTATTTTTACAGAAAGATTACATTTTTATAAGCACACACACAAAGTTTAAATATGCGGAAACATGTACTTTTTGAGAGAAAAGTATTGAAAATCAAATATTTTTGCAATATTTATGTCAATTCCTACCTACTATGAAACTGACGCCATTTTTTATTATTATTGTCAGTAGGGATGTCGATCCTTTCCGAAAAAGATCGAGTTTTTAAATATATTCGAATTGTAAGCTGATGTATCGATTACCAAAGAATCGATTTCTAAAATATCTATATTTTTTTCATGTTTGCATTTATAATGTAAATATAAATCCATTTTATGAGAAAAAAATTCTCTTCGTCATAAAAAAATAAGGGGACTGATTCAGAAGGATTTCTGTATCTATTTTGAGACTGCTACGTCTCCGGCGCTGAGGGAAGAGCAGCCTCTACGCCTTAGCGTAACAAATCGCAGGCATCCCTCCTCGCCTCCGCAGCTTCGGCTTTTTGGTCGCCTTCGGCGACCAGCCTTAGCCGCTCCGGCTCGTCCGATGCCTACGATTTGTTACAGCAGGCGGAGGCTACTCCCCCTACGCGCCTCCGGCTCTATAAAACCACTCTAGGGGTAGGACAGACTCGTACCAGGTGGAGTCGGGGTCAATCAATTCGGTTCTTTGACATAAGTTGAACCTAACCTATTTCATTTGTTATCTGCCCTAATAGGTACTGTTAAATAAAACAAATTTCAATAAGAGATCATTTATCATGGTATCTTTCTTGTTTTTCATAAAATGGGTTTATATTTACATTATAAATAGAAACAAAAAAAATATAGATATTTTAGAAATCGATTTTTTGTGAACCGATACATCAGCTTACGATTTGAATCGATTTAAAAATCGACCTTTTTCGGAAAGAATCGACATCCCTATTGACGTCGACATTGACATTACAAAATGGCGCCAGTTTTACCATCTCCGCTAGGAGTAAAGTATTCTGTGAGTTTTACGGTAGGATTAGACATAAACATTGCAAGAATAATTGATTTTCAATAATTCTTTTCTCAAAAATTACACGTTTCCGCGTGTTGAAACTTTGTGTGTGTGCTTATAATAGTGTAATTTTTCTGTGAAAATGCGTGTCAACACCCAACTCGACGAACGTCAATGGAAAGCTAAGCCCCAGTCGGAGTTTGTTAGGGCTAGGTACGCGTCGGTAGATAATTGTTATCACGTAATTGGATAATTATCGTTGTCGTATAATTATAGTAGATTAATTGTCTAAGGGTCGGTCGTCCGAGCGCGGCATTTTTGCTGATCGACTGTAGTGTGTACTTGTATTGGTAGTGTAATTTGTATTTAATTTAATAAATAGTAATTTGTATTCAACTTGATTTGATAGAAATTGTATTTGTTTTTTGTTAATTGATTTGTATTTGAGTTGCGTAGTATTTTGTATTTAGAAGTGATGCCATCGCACTGCCAGGGCAATCACCATGCCGTTTTGTGCCTGGGTGCGAACGGCGCTTCCTCTCAGGGCTCTGCCGGGCCCTCGACTCCCACAGGCGGGGGCGCTCAGCCGCGCCCCCTGTCGGGCGACGCTCGGCGCTCGCCGCCGGACACCGTGCCCCTGGGTTTGTAAGGGGTCCCTCCCCGAACCAGTCGGGGAGTCGTTCCCCCAGGGGCGGGGGGGTCGTCGCCCACTGAGAGGGGGGCCTCAGTGTGTGAGAGGGACTTCACAGCCACTCAGCAGTCAGCTAGACCCTTCTCACCTCCGTCAGCTGAGTGGCCGCGACTGGGGTACCACCGTCCCCCCTTTTGATGATCCATCCCATCTAGGTAGCTGCCGCCCTAGCTCCCACCACGGCCGCCTCCACTGAGACTAGTGTCGATTGTTTAACGGTTCGCGCTCTATAGGATTCGGGTTCACAACACGGTGTGGCCTCCACTTGGTTGTTGAGAAGACTAGGGCTCCCCGGGATTATTACCGACTGTATTGTCACCAGATTTTCGTTGACCAATGTGGCTGTTAAAATCACCCATAGTAAATATGTATTTAGCTTTGCTTTCCCTATATGCTATTTTAACATCAGTCATGAAGGTTTCCACCTCTGTGTCGAAAGCGTCGGAAGTTGGCGCATATGTTTGAATAAAAGATTATTTTTCAAGGAGTAGCCAAATTTTTAACTTAGTTCAATACCTTTCACATACCTTTATTGCAGTTTTTGAAAATATGAGTAAATAAAGCTTCTACTTCTATTTGAAATAATCACAAATTGAATGTGATTTATGGACAACAACATTTTTGCCTACCGATCGACCCTTTCGAATGTGTAGTAGTAAAATCAATTAAAATAATACATTGCCACACATTTTGAATTTAAAAGGTAAAACGGACAAAATGTTTAAGATTTTTTTTTATTAATTTTTCTTCAGCATTTGCCTATACAGTAAAAGCTCCTTAATCGCGCTTCCTTCATTCGCGTTTTCACTATTCGCGGATTAAAAAAATGTGACCCAATTCCTATATTCGCGGCTAAAGATTTCATTATTTGCAAGTCTAATCGGTACATACATATTAACAAAAATGATTCCTATAGGTATACATTCCAATATCTTTTGTTAATGCGTTGTCAAATGGATTACTAAAGAAGTAAATTATGTAGACCTTATTACAACTATGCCTAAAGTATGTTGGTAAACGATATGGCGGCTTATGTCAAAGGCCGAACCAATACCGGTTCCGACATTTTTACCTCCCAACACGACGGCTTCCTTCACCCTATGGACCAAGGAATAATCTAAACCTTTAAGCTCTATTACATTAGACGAACATTCAAAATCATATTGGATAATATGGAATGTGATCCTGATATGAATGTTATGGAATGCTGGAAGAAATTTGACATAGTAAAATGTATTGTAAACATAAAAGAATCATTGGAATAACTGAAGCCACATACACATTGAAATCATGCTGGAAAAAACTTTGGCCTGCTCTGGCTGCGGAAAATAACGAAGAATCTGTGCAAATTCAGACTTTGACTGCAAACATAGCCGAAATTGCGAATGTAATAGGACGACATGGGTTCGAACAGATAGAATCAAGTGACATTCAGGAGTTGCTTGAATCACAAGATGAATATTTGACTGAAAACAACTTGGAGGAAATGTTAAATTCACAGCCCATTGAAGAAGAGGCTTCAACAAGCACTGGAAATGTGACATTTAATTTGAAAAGTCTTAGTGAAGGTTTAATAATGGCAAATGAGCTTTGTGATTTCTTTATGAAAATTGGTCCGTCTACGGAACGAAGTCTTATTTTTAAGAGACAAATTGCTAATGCTACTACTGAATATCAATCTGAATTTATGGAACTTTTAAAAACTACCAAGCAAGAAAAAGTTAGAAAATTCTTTAAACCATTGCCTAAGCCTGAAGATAATAATAAATCAATATGGTCAAAAGCTTCAATTAAATAGATTTTTTTATATATTTGTTTTTTATTTTGTCACTAGGAACGTATCCCCTATAATTCCATATAAATTACCATTCCATATTCACGGTTTCTGTATTCATAGCATATTTACGGAACATATACCCCGCGAATAAAGAGCTTTTACTGTATTACTTATTCTGAACCTTCTCTGCAAATTTGGGCGGTTATTGCAAAATAACCCAGTATATGGTTTTTTTTGTTAGTTTCATGCTTATTACTCTCTCTGGAAGTGTGGGATATACTTGTAACATAATTTTTGATTTTTTTATTTATTAAAAATCCAATTCCTCTCTAAAATTTTTAATCTTATAAAAATAATAAATCTAATGAATTTTTGTTACGTACGTACTAATTTAAATATTTAGCAACAGTCCCACATCACCAACAATTTTTTTTTATTAATTATTAAACAGTTAAACACCACAATAATTTGGCTATTTACTAAATTGTGCTACATTTTCAATGATAGCGTCATGCATACCTTATTGGCTTCCAATAAGTTTTTGAGTTCTTCGTGCTCGTTATTCCAAACAAGCCAATGAATTGGATAACGTTTAGCGATGTCGTCTGCATTTAGCGGCATTATTTCAGCACATTTATTACACACAAACGCAGTTTTTAAATTTTCTATAAACTTCACTTTTTATTTACAAAGTATTTTGCTCTATACTCGTGGATTTTACTATAAAATGAACATACAGTAAATTAGAAAAAAAGATAAATTACGAACAGCTCTCACTTCACTTCTCATTCTCACAGTCACACATAGCATCATAGTCAGAAAATTGACAGTAGGATTGAGGTTTGAGTAAACGTAGTGATTATATTCTCTTTGGTTTGAGGCGTATTTATTGTAACAGATATAAAAAGCAGGTATCGTAAAATAGCAAGCTGTAACTGTGACAAACAAACTGAAAGAACAGTTCCTATTCCACGAGATAACAAATCCACTAAAAGATAGTCAGAAGTTTTTCTTTATTCATACATAATATGACAGTTATCTTTGTTAGAATGATATAAAAAAAATCAGTCTGTGTTCGTGAAAACACACGGTAGAAGTAAAACATTTATATTATAGGGAAATATTTCAATTATTCATCAATGACTCGAATAGGATACATTGTGTATATCATTAATTTAATTATAATAATTTCTACCTGTTATTTTTGACACATACCAGGTGGTACGTAGCAACAATGCTACCACTCGAGAACCTTTGTTAACCGTCGTGTATCAGTTCTCCGAGCTATATATTTACGGCCCATTGCCACAGCTTACTTTGTCTTACTGATCTATTGGGCTATGTCGATTACTACTGTTTCACTGCCATCTTCATTGCGAATTCTATCACGTACAGAAAATCCAAGCATAGTTCTATAGTTCGCTGAACGTTATTAAAATTATTTACAAGATTAAGACTATTTTCAACTATTTAGTTTAATAATGGAGAATTCTGAGACACAAATAAGGCTATTTATTTTAAAGTTGACAAAATTCAAATATACATATTTGATAATCAAACAAATAAGGTAATTATTTCATTATTTCTAGTCTTTTATTTAGTTTATATACTTTGTACAACCCATAAGCATCATATTAGTATGTTGTTCTAGCACGTTCGATTAATGACGCCGTCATACGAATGTCGCACGGTGGGCAAAGCATCCTCAACTCAGGAGGTATACTTCTGCTTGCAGCTAACGTCTGGGATTATTATAAACATATTATAAGCTATAATAACGTAGCAATTTTCTCTTTTATATGGAAGAGATGCATCTGTTACGTAACATTATTTAATCTGTGATATAGCCAGCAGTGTAGAACCACGTCTCGGAGTTTATTAAATATGAATAATTATAAAACTTTTATAATTGTGCCTATCGAAAATGATATTCATTTTCAATATGCTTAATCAGTCTCATTACAAAACGTCATTTGAACTATAGTATTAGAAAAATATTTTTCACGAAAAAGTCCCTTAGCTTTCGCTATTTGTAATATGATGGAATGTGTCTCATTACTAAAATATTTTAATAAGTTCTACCGGGTAAAAACCGGTCAAAAACTTTTGAAACTTAGTGACGCATCAACAAATCAACATATTACTGTGGAAAAAAAAACATCAGAGTAGGGTGTAGGAACATGAGCGCCTTTGCCTCTCCGTAATTAAAAAATGGCAATTTCAATGACAATGTCACAATGACATTGACATGTTATTTAAAATTTTTACCAAAATGATGTTTTGTTATTGTAAAAAAAAATATATCGAACAACGAACATTATAATTAAAATTATATAATAATTGCGAAAAATGAACAAGACATTATACTCTGGTTTTTGGGTAAAAAACACTACACCTTGTTTTTTTCCTAGGCGAACGCTTGAAACAATTTCTAAAGAAAATATTGAAGTAAGTTTTTACAATATTTTTGTCGTATAGATTATGTCGTGGTCATATTTCATTATATGCACTCTATGCTATACCATACACTACACAGAATATTTTTGTTTCAAAAAGAACTTCATTCACGTTCACACTTCAGCTTCTGCTGAACTAATAGTATTTTTACAAATAAATCGTTAGTTCTTCTACTTCATCAGCCTGTTAAATTCCATAGTCGGACATGACTTCTCCCTTGTTGAGAGTGGTTCTTGGTTTACCCAAATTGTACAAATACCACATTTCTTGTTTTTCAAATCATAGTTTTTGGTAATGGTACTAAAAATAGCACATCAGTAACATGTAGAATGAGATGACCTCATCGAGGACATACATGGTTATATTATATATGTTTGAGCAAATCATATATTTTTAACAAAATCTCCTTGATTTTGTAACATTATGTGACTTTCATGAAATACTTGTTTGAGTGATATACTTTAACCCAACAAAGCTTACTTTTAATTTAAGTTACCAAAAACTAGATAGCGTAAAGTAAAATTATAATAAGTCTAATGAAAAATTGAAGCCTCGCCAAAAGGAATTCTACTAAATCACGGTCCCGAGCCCCCTTACAATATGGAATGTGTTGTAAGGGGGATGTTGTGGATCCTTCAAGCTATTTCACTGACACATTGCCACTTCAGTTTCCCAAGAAATTTTGAGCATAGCCATCTCCATTGCTTGTTGAACGACATTAAAGTTCCTCATACAACCAGCAGTGAAGGACAATGTAGAACTCCATAAGATATTCACTGGCAACACTAACAGAAATCATTCTCTCCCTGTCTCTCTTCTCCTTCACCCTGACAAGGGCAAATATGTAGTTTTTTGTCACTATTATGTAATATTTTGGATCACAAAACTTATTAAAAAAGGATTATTTCATAATCATTACACAACTTCACAAGTTCACTGCTGAACTTAGGCCTCTCTCAAGGGAAGGGATGACAGAGAGCACCTGCATCCATTGATTTCACACATCTCTTACTAGGTCGTCACTTCATCTAGTGTAGTAGATACAGAGCTGCCACTGAAGAACCTATCTTCCTTAACTGTTATCAGTACTTAGAGCTAGATAGCCGGCCTTTTGCCACATGAGATCTGATACCGATCCATAATTTTTTTTTACAGAAGAGTTTTAAGGTTCTTAATTTACCTCTTAACTCTAACCAAGATGAAATTCGAAAAGCATTTTTAGAGTTGGCAAAAAAGTACCATCCAGACTCAGGGTCTCCTGATGCAAATATTGAGAAATTTGTTGCGATAGAGAATGCATTCAGATTGCTATCAAAACACTATACTGGTGTCAGCAACAATAAGGAAGTAGAAAAGATAGTCTTTGATATCAGGGTATGTATTGTTTTTGTTGGTCAAGATTAACTTTAGATAAATTAAGGGTTGCTTCACTTTTTTATGTCTATTTTATAATGTTTTTAACATTATTATTAATAGATTTTCAAAATATTTTCTTATAATGGTGTCCCTAAACTCACGCATGATTTGAATTTTGGAGTCATGTACAGTAAACTTCTGTCAAGGAAAGAAGAGAGTGTAAGAGACAGTTCAGTTTTTATAATAGAGTGCTACAATAGGAACAGCATAGTAACAATGTTTAATTTTGAAAAAATAATGAAGATCTAGCAGCTACAGTTAGTAATAATAAAACTGTAGCAGCGTCTAGCACCAATAACTTAACTGTTATGCAAGATATAGATGTGGATGCCATATGCTTTCTAAAAGATGGCCACATGCCATATAGCCAAAGAAATAATTCATGAGTTATTTCCAAGACGTATAATTTCCCATTTTGGTGATTGGGAATGGCAGCCAGATCGTGTAACTGAATGTTGTAGGACATTTTCCTTCAGGCTTATTTGAAGTCTAAGGTTTAGGCCATCAAGATCACAACCACTCACGCTTTGAAGGAGGAAATTGAGAGCTGAATCAACAGAATTCAGCTATAATTTATGCACAATGAACATGGAAAATTTCAATTAGAGGGTGTATATGCCAGTAAAGACATGGAGGCCTTTACCCAATATGTAATTCCATACATAACCCTATATTATGAGTCAATAAATATTTTACCATTTTTAATTGTTGATGAACTTTAATTGAAAGACTATCAAAATTACTTGCTTGCTTGAATTTTGGGTCACGCTATACAAATGAATTTACATTACAACTTTATTTAAAAATATAATAATATAAATATTTTCGTTTTTATTTTTGAATTCAATTTTTTTTATAGTAAACAATATTATTATTGTTTATATTTTTATACATAGGAAAAATTCCTTTTCTTAAATGTCTCCAAGTACCATAATTGTATTATAGAGACAGCATTAGTATGATTTCATTTTATGTCAATTTGAATGAAATCTTAAACTTACTTTTTCTAAAAATACCAATGAGAAATAGCAGCATAATGTTGCTGTGTTTCATATGGTTTGTGCTGAAAACTGGAGATCTTATTTACTGCTAATTTTGTAACTAGGCATTCTATTTTGATCCTAGGGGGCGAAAATATATCTGCATACAGACACTATAGATAGGTATTAATGGGCCAAAGAATCCTTAAAAAGATTGTTTACTATTCTTATTTGCGTATGTTTAATATTAAAAACTAATAAATTTAATATTTACAGTTTTGGTTTAGTTAACATGTAATTATATGGCATAGCGAAGAACAATTCTCTGTTAAATATAAATCATTATTATGTTAAAATAGCATACAGCACCCCAACATCGGCAGTATCTTAGTTATGAAGGAGTGGGATATGGTACCCCATCCCAACGGCAGAGACAGTGGACTCAAAGTCGCGCTCAAAGAGCTGCTGCCAACGTCATAGAGCATCGCATTTCCAAAGCCGTAGCTTCAGATAAAGCTCTAATTAAAAAAGATAAATACAGCAAGATACATGATATAAAAACCAAATATGGGTTTGATAGATTAGTAGAGGATTTGATACAGGAGTCGATATCGAAAGGCGAATTTGAGAATTTAAGTGGGAAGGGGAAACCTTTAAAAGATCAGAATACTAATCCTTATGTTGATTTTACAACACACAAGTTAAATGAGGTAAGCATTGTTGTAATCTTTCATTAGTGTAATATTTACTGTAAATCTAAAGTAAACCTATATAACCATTTCTATCCCTTCACAAGTCCACTCCTGAACATTGGCCTCCCATAAATAATGCCATAAAATACAGTTTTGAGCCACCTGCATCCATCAAGGGCCACTCTACACTTTGCTTACCAGTATGAGACTGTCACTTGTAAAATAGGAGCTTAACACTGCTGTATTTCGTATGGTGAGTAGAGCACCGGAGACCCTTTTTACTGGAAAAGAGGCATTCCAACTTAGTCCTCACGGGTAACAACGCATCTGCATTTTGATTCTTTATTGAGGATAGATGTGGATGTCTATGGGTTACAGCAACCAGTTTCCAGGTCGACTGTGTGCTCATTTGTCACCCTATCCTATAAAAAAATTTACTTCCCCATTAGTTGTCATTTATGCTTTTACCACTATTTCGTAAAAAATCTTTTGTCCTGGGAATAACCATCAAGAAACCGTGTGGGCCTTTTTTAAATATTTATTTACAATAACATGGCACTATAAGTGTATTGTCACTCTCTCTAGTAGTAAAACTCAATAATAATCATTGCAATTTGTACTCATACAGGTCCTTATTAATAATGGTTTCACTCCAGAATGGATAACTATGAGGAAAGAAATAGACCAAGATATTGAAATGTTAAAGGAGGAAATTAAAAGAGATAGAATGGCCCTAGGACCGTTTCCATTGAATGAAGAAGACAAAGTAAAATGGGAGAAGGTATATGAGAGCAATAAAAACCTAGCAAGCTCTATAAATTTAAAAATTAACACCTACAATCTAATTGTTCCTATGATTAACAAGCAAAAATTCCATGTTGAATTCGACAAGATATGTGAAGATATTCTACAGAACGGTGCACATACTGCACAGAGTAATGAAAACGTAGATATGAAAAGACCTGTAGATGCACCCACAGGTCACAGTGACGATTTTATTAGTATTCTCTTTAGCGCTTTAGGTGAATTACTAACATTTAAAAAAGAGGAAAAGAAAAGTGTAAATAATTGAAGTTATTTAGAGTTAATAGAAAAGTCATGTTGTTATGCTACATTTATAAAAAAATTGTTTGTTATATACCATGATGGTCAAATTTTGTTATATGTTGAATAAAATTGTAAAAGTATAAAATATTGTAAAGTAATTAATATCTATAAGAAGGCCAATACAACGATATAAAGAACGTTAACATACTGAATTTTACTAATTTGGTATTTTTATTACAATAACATTGAAACGGGACTGTAGCTAAGTACTGTAGGTTACTGAAAATTTGTTACATTTTTTATTGTTTCACTGTAGTTTTATAAAATTTTGATTAGCTTAGTGTAAAAAAAATATATACAATCTGGCCTCGCTGTAGAGACTTAGAAATATTTCTGTGATATTATCATCTATAAATAAAATAAAAAATAGTTAAAATTGCTTTTATTTAAACATTCTACAAAACTAAACTGATTTCAGTTCATTACCACATATCACTTTAAGTTTGCTTAAAATATTCGAAATAACAATTGTAAACATTTTATAATAGTATATTCAAGTTGACTTTGTCTGTATTTTTAGTACACATTAAATTAAAGCATACTAGAGTTGCATTATGTGTGAATAATATATATCTATAAATGCAATTCGCCTTTGGAATAAAGATTATCGTGGACCACACGTTTAAACTTTAAACATCGTATTTTTTTTAACATATTGACAATGGAATGATCTCGCATATCGAAAGGCACTCAAATTTCCTCAAATATCACAATTTTATGGAAGACAAATTTGAAGGGATAAATGTTAAACTTATATTTTATAACGTTATTTTATTACAAAAAAACATTTATAAAAAGGCAGAAATATAGGTACCTACTGCTAATGGCACTACTTGTTAGGGATGTTCGATGATCGTAAATGTTCGAAAACGATCAATGTTAAAAATGTCGATGTCTTATTATCGATTATGCACTATGGTATACATCGATACATCAATTTAGTGTCTGTGACATCGATGATACATCGATGTTACAGACACTAAATCGAAAGCAGCAATATCGACGTCGCGAATTAAAGTGACAAGTATACTAAGCTTTGAGTCATAATTATTAAAAAAATGTGTTTTACCGGGTTTAATTCATTTGAAATGATGCATACAAAACATCGATGTTTTGTGTTTCATGAAAATCGAGCATCGATGTTGTTGAGCTATTGGCGTCATTATCGATGTTTTACAATATCGATCACCCCTACTACTTGTAAACTTATATAATATTATGCAATATAACATACTAATACATTATTCTGTAACATTTCTTCTTAAGAGTTATAAAATATTTAAAATATATAAAAATCTGGTGTGCAGTTTCAATAAACAGTTATTGAAATATTCTCAAGTATTAAGTAAATAACGCATTTGAATTGTTATATTATATAACATTTTAACTTTGATAACATTTATTAAATTTAGTCCTCGCATAAAAAATAAACTATATTCTAAAATAATTTGTAAATTTGAGTACGTATTTACAAGTAAAGAACTTCGCAAAGAATATGGACATCCCTATTTTTCTGTATATAACCTGTATAAATGTTAAAATAATAATTAATCTTTAGTTCAAATAACATATTTAAGGTAAGATCCCTTGGTGGTATTACGATTGGTCTAGCAGTATGATTGTATAATTTGGAAAAGAGGAAGCCGGGTGTCCCGGTTTACATACAGTGTATTGATTCAGGGATGTATGGTCAGGTCTTTCCTATGAGAGGGCATGTCCTAATCCAGGTATAAAAAGAGCTGGTGTATGGTTAGGGTGAGATTTTGTGGCATATTCTAGGAGTTCCACATCAGTTGTCCATCGGCCGCGAGTCTAACCCGGCCGGTGGCGAGCAGGCGCAATGCTCGCGGGTATGCACGGTGTTCTGCTTGGTGGATACGTTCGCTCAGACTTTCTTCTGTGTCGTCCTTCAGTACGGGCACGCGCTCCTGTGTGATTATGGGGCCCGTGTCCACACCATGCTGAAATACGTATTGGTTTTTCGTTAAAACCTCAAAACCTTGAGAGGATTAAGAATAAGTACTGAGAGGTAAGATTTCTATGTATACTGCTAGAAGGTTACTACGGTACTAATACATTGCGCACTAAGTTACGGTCAATTCTTCATATTTTCTTTAGTCGACTGCGAATTACCAATAACAACAGTTCTTTGTTTTGTAAACAGCGAACGTTGTTTTCGACAATCTAACACAGATTTTTTTAATTAAGAAAACGCTCTCATTATGTATGTGCGCATTTCGCATTCGCACGATTCACAACTGTGACTTAGGCCCGTGTTAATAAACGTTACTCAACGACGAACTAAAGTGCGTAATCATTTGATACGCCCTCATTACGATATCAGCATCTCAAAACGCTGTACTTAGGAATACTATTTTGTGACTTGCACTCAAGTACACACACTTGAGAGTCGAGTTTCGTTTATCAATCAGTGTGTCACTCAGCTGATATCGTAAACCTAAACCGCATCTTGAGATATGTTTACTAGTAAGATCATAACCTCAATATTGTACTCAAGTGCGTGTACTTGAGCTGAGTAACGTTTATTAATACGGGCTTAAGTTTTTGTTCGGATTGCTGGTCTCACAGTGTACATAGAAATGATTGGCTGAGCTAATGTGTGTGTGTGTACTCACGTCGACGAAGTGCACGGTGCAGCCGGACTCCGCGTCTCCGGCCGCCAGGCACTGGCGCGCCGCGTGCAGCCCGGGGTGGCGCGGCAGCAGCGACGGGTGGATGTTCACCAGCCGCCCCTTCCACCTGACACGATAATTACCACTCTCTTACTATGATCATAAAGTCAATTTTTAATTGCGTCGTTCCCACGCTAAAAGGTTACATTTGTAACTTTTTATCGTGGGGCAATGCTGCGGCTACAACAGTATGTTTATGCTAGACTCCCACCGGTCAAAACCCTAATGTGAGCACCATCAGCGTATATGGTCTATGTATCTCCATTCGGAGCGCTTTCAGAATCCCTCCATCGCTTTTCTAGACTAGAAGCACTTCCCGGGAGTAGCACCTTTGTAGTGGTATCACGATGTCTCGTGACCTCTTCCGAGTTATCGTCCACCTCGGAAGTTACATTACTAAAGGCCACGTATCTGGTAAGGGAACACCATCATCAAAGGCAGGGCCGTAACTAACGCCTAGACGTCGTTCGTCTTCGAGCAGGATCTGTCCTCACGTGACCCCGCTCAGCAGCCTTGTGAACAATACGGATTCATAGAATGCGGCTACGGCCCTCGACGCTAGTCTCAGTTTAATATCGCCGACACTACTGCTGGCAGGGAGAGGTTTCGATGAACTCGACTCATCGAAATCGTCCGCTTCCATTCTCAAACTGGCCAAACCTCTACGTCCCATACGCTACGAGCGTATGGGACGTGGAGGACTCCGCGGTCCCCTCTACCGGAGTGGAAGCAGTTTCTTATCGCACCCGTGTCCGGTAATTATCAGTGTAATGCTATAGGTCTAGGTGTGTGTCTTCCTGCCCGTCGGTGCACCCAGACTTCGAAATGCAGCAGGACTACTTCAACAAGACGTTTTCGCGTATAACGCTCCTCGAGTACGCCACGTTGCGAATTCGTTTTTGCCGCTTAACCGCCACAAGCGCCTTTTCTAGCCCGCACGGGCGATCTGGCGGAGGACAGGAATCCAGTCGTACACCTTCCCATCCATGTCCACGAGCATGTTTTGCAGAGCTAGCATGGGCAGGAGACAATTTTATTCCCGGGGAAAGGAGAAATGTTTATCCCCTCGCTTAGTTTTATCCACCCTTTGAGCATGGGCACACCGGTAGATTTAGATAGATTTTTTTTTATGAATATAAACTTAAACCCACGTCCAATGAACTAGAATAAATTGTCCCTTTCAAATGTCAAAAAAGCATAACTTTTTATCTTTCATTTGGCTCCATGCTACGGACGGCGGATATAGGTCTAATCGTTATGTCAAACGGGGATGTACTTCTCCCCGTTGCCGTGCTTTAGCATAGGGACAAGATAATTTTATCTCATGTCAGGGGATATAATCGGCGGATAACATTTTTATCTCCAGCTCATGCTAGTCGTGCAGAGGTGGAAAGCCACCCAAGACCTTTGCCTGAAAAGACATCTCGGTGACGTATTTCCTCCTTTTGATCCCTATAGATTGGATAGCAGTCTAATAATATGGACTAAACGTCCAATGTGGCCCGAAGTCTTCGAAACCCCTGCAACTGTCCAGGTAGAGGCCTAGGAACTTCTTGTAACTCCCCACTAGACATGCGCGCCGCGCCGGCGCCGCCGCGCCACGCCGCGCCCTGCCCACGCCGCGCCGCGCCGACAAATCCGATCGGCGCGCCGTGAACCAACGCGGGACGGGCGCGCGGGCGCGGGCTCAATAAAACCATGCAATTATTTAAAAATTTAAAAATCAATAAGAAAATGTAAAAAGATCGTAAAAATCGTTCGGTATCGCTTACCGGAATTGAAGCGAGCGGCGGAAATAGAACAAATTAAATTTTTACAGTCTCTGGAGCGCGTATCAGAACTTTCAGTATGTATATAAAAACTACTCTGTGATCAGAACATTTGCTACTAGCACGCCTAGTGAGCGCGTTTTTTCTATAGTGGGACTAACTGTGACTGCTAAAAGATCTAGACTAAGCCCAGTACACGTTAATAAAATTATTTTTATTCATGATAACTATACATTATGCAAAAAACACAATTTTAATTTCCTATAGTTTGTGCAAGAAACAAAAAAATGTGCTTTTTCGTTTTTGCACAAATTATAAGGTATAATTAATTAGAACTTTTAAATAAAACTAATTTTACAGATTTTATCGCGTATATTAACTTATTTTACTAAAAATTTTAATCTGGAGGTAGCCGTAGTTAACTATGACATTGGGACGTCATACACCTCAGTACCCCCGTGACCATGGGTGCTGCAAAGTGCTTGAAACGTCGGGAAAGTAAAATAAGTTAATATACGCGATAAAATCCGTAAAATTAGTTTTATTTAAATGTGTAGTGTTCGCGTAAATATAAGAAATCATTAATTAGAACTTGTTTAGTTTGTTTTTATTTTGAGAAATTAAATTTGAATTCCTATCCAGGTCTATGTTTCACTTGTTACTACCTTATTTTAAATAAATGTTTATAAAAATTAAAATAAAATACGGCCACGCCGGCGCGGCGTCGCCACGCCGACCACAATGGGTCGGCGCGCCGCCGCCGCCGAATTCTTGCTCGGCGCGCATGTCTACTCCCCACTAAGGCCAGGCCCACCCACGCCGACGCTCTAGTGGTTTCCGGTTCTGTAGTAATTTATTAAACCATAGTCTTAATCGACGCTATTTCTAATACCAACTCGTGGATTTTGGCGCCCCAGCTCGGCAATCGTATCGCCATATCTGCATAGCACACGATATTTACGTTAGCGCGGATGTCGATTCGCAGAACCACATCATAGGCAAGGTTCTATATTAGCGGCCCCAGCACCGAACACTGCGGAATACAGCGTGGGAGACGTTTGATCTCTCTCCGGATCTTTGTACTATCTTGCCCCATGTATAGATTTTTTTTTAGAAACAGGGTGACCACCAATGAGTACACAGTACACTGTGTACTATAGACGTCTACACATATATCCTCGATTAAGAATCAAAATGCAGATGTGTTGCTACCCTTGAAAACTAAGATGGAACGCCTCGATTCCAGTAAAATGGGTCTCCGTTTCTCCACACTCACCATACGAAACACAGCAGCATTGAACTTTTATTCTACGATCGAGCCGACCCATTCGTGCTACAAACATAATAAGAGTATTATTGAAGCATGACTCTACCACGTAGTAGCTTTACCCATTGCGCAGGTTGTCCCCAATAACATCTTGCAGGCCATTTGATGATGTCTTAGTGCACTCTCTAATTGCGTACCAGGGAGTTAAAAGCGTTGACGATATCGAGACTTAACGCGCATATTCGCATTTAACCCAAACTGGCTGTCGGCCAAATAGGGACCGACGTGCGCCTGTTGAATATTCATCAAGGGAAGTTTACCCAGCACCATCCTGTATGGATGTCCGCAAGGATCGCCCTTGAGTCCTTCCATAATATCATTCCAGGACTGAGGCCAGGCGTTGGCTATGGCAATTGTAGCCGGAACAAACTTGTGTCTGAAGTCGAGTCTTTGCTGATCAAAGTCTCGGATTGGGGGCGACTAAATCTAGTCCAGGTCAATCCCCAGAACACACAAGTTTGCGCGTTTACCGCTAAAAAGAACCCCTTTGTCATATCTCTTCAGTTTCAAGGCACTCCCCTTGCTGCCTCAGCTAGCATCGGAATCCTTGGCGTCGACATATCGAATAGTGTGCAGTTTCCTGGTCCCTTGGAAGGGAAGGCCAAACGGGCCACTAAAAAGCTTGGCGTGCTGAGCAGTGCGAGACAGTATTTCAATCCGGCCTCACATGGAATACTGTTCTCATCTCTGGGCCGGGGCACCCCAATGCCAGCTCCTTCCACTTGACGGCATCCAGCGTAGAGCGGTTCGAATCGTCGACGACCGAGTTCTTTCTGATCGGCTCGATACACTGGCACTGCGTAGAGATGTTGCATCTCTTTGAGTATTTTATCGCATTTACCACGGGGAGTGCTCTGAGGAATTGTTCGGACTAATTCTAGCCGTTCAATTTCACCATCGCACATCGCGACAAAACTCGCGATACCATCCATATCACCTGGATGATTGGCGGTCCACCACTGTGCGATTTAGAAGATGTTTTCTTCCTCGCACAACTTCCTTGTGGAATCGATTACCACCAGCGATTTTTCCGGACCGATACGACTTAGGATCCTTCAAGAAAAGAGCCTACTCCTTTTTTAAAAAGCCGGCAACGCATCTGCAATGCCCCTTGTTCCCCTGGTGTTGCGGTTGTTCATGGGCGGCAGTAGTCACTTAGCATCAGGTGAGCCGCATGCTCGTTTGCCCCCTCTACTATAAAAAAAAACACCGTCCTGCGCCTAGGGCAATTGATTCTGAGTCGTAATAGAGGCTAACTCGACGAAGGAAGGAGCTACGCACTACATACCAATGTAAAGTAGCAGCATATTAATGCTTACGTGCGCAGCGAGAGACGAGAATCGGAGATCTTTCAACAGATAACGTGGCATACTGTGATCTTGTGCTCCAAGTATACATAGAACACACAAGAGAAGTATACATCTTAAAACTTATTTTTAATTTTACTCAAACGGTCAGTTAGATGGTTTTTTATAGGATAAGGGTGACAAGCGAGCAAACAGTCCACCTGATGGTAAGTGGTTGTTGTGGCCCATAGACATCCACATCTATCCTCGTTTGCGAATAAAATGCAGATGCGTTGTCAGCCGTGAGGACTAAGATAGAATGCCACTTTTCCAGTAAAAAATGTCGCCGGTTCCCTACACTCACCATACGAAACAAAGCAGCATTAAGCTGGTATTCTGTGAGACCGTGGTATATTAATATAGCTACATCATGGCTCTACCACGTACACTAGTTTTCAGTATTTTATATAAAGTTGCAAAAATACGTACTTATCGACGAACTCAGCAGACAAGATCCTCATGAAGCCAGCGAGGCATACAATGTCTATTTTATGTTTCTCCAGCGCTTCGGAAATGGCACGGTCGAACTCTTCCCGCGACGAGTAGTCTTTGTGATTTAACACCTGCATGAACCAAAAATTAAATAATTAACATTATAACGTCACTCGACTAATGACTAGATCTTTTTTTTATAGAATAAGGGTAACAAACGAGTACACAGTCCACTTGATGGTAAGTAGATACTGTAGCCCATAGACATCTACATTTTATCTCCTCGATTAAGAATAACATTTCAGATGCGTTGTCACCCCTGAGGATTGAGATGGAATGCTTCGTATTCCGTAGAGTTCCTACACTCACCGTTCAAACGACAGCGGTATTGAGCTGCTATTTTACGCTGGTATTCTGTGTGAGCGTGGTCTTTCCTCGGTCGAGCCGACCAATTCGTGCTACAACCGTAACGTAGCTGCAGTATGGCTTTACCACAAAAATGTGTGTGTAATGAATGCTTTTTGGCGGCAGTGTAAGAGAATCAATCCTCATACTCTCATCTTTTGTTTTCTTAAAGGCTTTTATTTGCGAGAGCCGCCGGAAAAATTATAATACGAGAAGAACGGGTGTTATAAATTATGAGATTGTACTAGTCCACGCGTTCAGCGTTTAAAACCAATTACGTATAAAACAATCAGCGTGGCTTTCTCCGTGGGTTTGGCTAGGCGACTCCAGGCGAAAGCTACGTTGTAATAAAGTAACAAAATTTGTTTACGCACCGGACTCCTACAATCTGTGGGTTTAGAGTCAATTTGACTTTATACGAGCGTTAACGCTAATAAAAAAAAACTATAGAAATGGATGGTGTAGTGTATGCTTATATGTAGTATACAGTAAATATTGTTATTTGTTTTATTTACTAATAATTTACCATGCACAAATACACAAACATACATTTATATATAAGTCACTGTCTCGAGCGCACCGCGTCAGTTACACGAGAGCCTCGGGCGAGAGTAGACGTGTTGTTTAGTTAAAGTGCGTGCCGAGCCTGTGTTACACTACAGTGGTTAGAGAAGATAGCAGACATTACAAGTGGCGACGAGGAAAAAGATAAGTACCTATTTAGTATAAAGATATAATCAAAAATAGGTTAGCAATGTGCAACTATTAGCATTGCAATTGTAAATTAATTCCTAGAGTACCCGCGGAAAAAAAACTGTGGATTATGAATTATGATTTATTGTTTTTAACCCTGTTCTGATCATTTTAATAATTTATATAAAATATATGTTCGCATTTGACCACGCTTATGGTGTGCTAAAATTTATTTTCTTTATGTAGCAATGATAAAATAATGATTTATTTTAACATATGTCTATTGGCACAACTTTTATATAAAAAGATTTTTGATGGAAAAATAGTAGATGTTACTAATAACTCCTCTCGATTCGAACCGAAATACAATGTCGTTAGCTAAATTTTAGTGGCATTTAACATCTGCATTAGCAATGACATTTTTATGTGATATTTATCGCCTTTAATGAAAATACTATTTTACTGCTTTCATGGCATATATAAGTCTTACAAAAAATCGTGGACACTTCACGACTTCTGTACATTGCAAAGTAGGTAACTAGTAATACTGTTTATTTATTTATTTGCTTTTTAAGGGAAACATACAGTGCAATAATAAATTACATAATAAAACATATAAAAGTAATCCAAAAAACCAATGAAGTTTCCACAGATATCTAATACATAATAAAAGCAAACCACAATATTATGTTGTATAAAATTAAAAATATAAAAGAATAAAACAAGCTAAATGGTATTCATAAATTAAAACATTAAGTAGTAAGTAGTTAAAAGTAACATTATATATACAACTCAAAGTGATACTACCAATTATATATTAAGTTTTACAATATTTTCTTTGCAACTATCATATTCAAGGTGAAAAATATGTAATATTTACAATATTTTAAGTTAAACTTTTTGCATGTACGAGATACAAAATTATTTGAGGCATTTTTTTGTTTTAACTTTAGGTAATGCAAAAGGTGGTTTATTTCGTGCAACTAACCTGTGACACGCAAGATTCACCTTGCCTAAAAGTAGGGGAGAGCCGATGATATTATGAAACAATTTGTACAACAATATTTGATCTCTTATATTACGGCGTTTTTCAGGGTATTGCTGTCTAAGTTATCAATAATAGTAAATGCGCAATATAGGTATTGAATTTACCCAAAGCCTAAATGGCACAGCGATGGAAGTAGTCGGTATAACAAATAAACCGAAAGAGAAGGGCGAGTGTTATGGAACATATTATTATCATGAAACTGAGTTTGGGTACCAAGATACCAATCATTAAATTGAGTTGGGTACTAAGATACCATCATTAAATTGAGTTGGGTACTAAGATACCATCATTAAATTGAGTTGGGTACTAAGATACCATCATTAAATTGAGTTGGGTACTAAGATACCATCATTAAATTAAGTTGGGTACTAAGATACCATCATTAAATTGAGTTGGGTACTAAGATACCACCATTAAATTGGAACTTGGGTACTAAAGTAGGTACCACCATTAAATTGGAGCTTGGGTACTAAGGTAGGTACCACCATTAAATTGGAACTTGGGTACTAAGGTAGGTACCACCATTAAATTGGACTTTGGGTTCTAAGTTACTACCATTAAATTGGACTTTGTGTACTAAGTTACTACTATTAAATTGGACTTTGGGTACTAAGTTACTACCATTAAATTGGACTTTGGGTATTAAAATACCAGCATTAAATTGGAAAAAAAATATAAGAAACTGTTTCAGTTTACCCCTAAAATAATAATAATAATGATACCGTTATCAGCTTTAATGTGATAGCACATCTATGGCTATAAGGTGTGGAAAATGGAAAAGGTCTCTACTAATCTATCTGGACGTAGCTGAAGTTATATCAGCACTCGAGAAACGAGCTACGCTATTGCATTTTGGTGGCTCTGGGATAAAAGAAACCGTTGATGTATTTTAAGTAGCCATAAAAAAAAAACTCTACGAGTATTTTCAACCTAAACGGAGCAAAGTTTATGAGCGGCATGTTTTTCGATTGCTAAAACAGAAAAAAGGAGAGACATTTGAGAAGTTTTTGATAAGATTGCGTCAACAAGCCGAAAAGTGTATCGAAAGGCAAGATGATCATTTCATAGATCAAATTGTGGAAAAGTGTAATTTGAAATTGCGCAAGAACCTTATATCTTACAAAACGTGGGAAGAGTTAAAAAGCAAAAAAGTATATGCTTTTAATCAAATGTAAAGACCAGACAATTAGCATATGGTAGTAACTCTCCTTTGGCAATAGAGGGTTCATTTGAAACTATACTCCAAGTCGATGGACGAAAGGAACATACAACCATTTACGTGATTTCGGGGGGTAATAGAAACCTGTTTGGTAAGAAAACAGCAGTCCGACTGGGTGTCTTAAAACTTGGTATCGGGATAAATCAAGTGGAGAGTAAAAGCAAGTCGATCCCCTTTAAAGAGAAGGTTGCAATCAAAATTAAGAAATCACTAAACAGTGATATAATTGAAGAAGTGCAAGGCCCGTCTAAATGGGTTTCACCAATGTTCCAATCATGAAAGAAAATGGTGAATTACGTTTGTGCGTAGATATGAGATATACGAACGCCGTTATATTGCAAGAAAACCACCCCCTGCCTACTATGGACCATTTTTGCCTAAAATGAAGAAAGCTAAATATTTTAACAAATTAAGACATAAAAAAATGCCTTCCATCAAGTGGAAATTCACTCTGAATCCAGACACATAACGACTTTTATAACCCCCAAAAGAGTATATAGATATAAAAGAATAATGCTTGGAATTACCTGCGCTTCCGAGATTTTTGAGAAGATCGTTGAAAGGATGCTGATAAACTGTGAAGGGGTCGTCAATTTTATTGATGATATCCTGGTATTCGGGAACAGTGAAGAAGAACATGACGCATGACTAAAGAAAGTTCTACAGGTACTTAGTAAAAACAACGCCGTGCTGAATAGCAATAAATGCATATATAAAACGCAGGATGTAAATTTTCTGGGACACAGGCTTACACATGAAGGAGTAAACCCTTCAACAAGTACGTTGAGAGCATTATGTAATTTAAGGTCCCAAAGACCATAGAAGAACTCCAAAGTTTTTTAGGACTCTTAAACTACATAAACAAATGGATACCTAACTTGGCCGCCATGACAGAACTTCTGAAGCACCTGTTAAGACAGAAGATGAGCAAAAGGGAGAGCTTGGAAAAACAATGGTCTGGAGAACAAGATAAAGCATTCCAAAAACTCAAACGGATGCTCACGGAAATACAGATTTTAGGGTATTATGACGTCAGAGATGCAAGACAGGTGATAGCAGATGCTAGCCCTGTCGGACTTGGTGCTGTCCTTGTACAAAATGATACAAATGGCCCTAGAATTATTGCCTATGGTAATCGAGCTTTGACAGACTGCGAGCGCAGGTATAGCCAAACGGAAAAAAAGGCACTAGCATTAGTTTGGGGGGTCGAACATTTTAATATGTTTATTTGGAAAGCCTTTTGATTTAGTCACTGACTACAAGCCGCTAGAGATATTGTTCGGGTCTAAGTCAAAACCATGTGCGAGGATTGAACAATGGATACTGAGGCTACAGTCTTATTCATTCAAGGTTATATACAAGCCAGGAAAAACAAATATAGCTGATCCTTTGTCACAATTATGTAACTATCGTGATAACCCACCAAAAGGAAAAGACCACCATGTGTACCAAATAGTGGAAAATTCTAGACCAGTTGCTATACCAATGAGTTCCATTGTAGCATATTCAGAAAAAGAACAAGAGATTTACAAAGTGAAAAAAGGTGTCTATCAGAACGACTGGGACGATTCGATTAAGAGTTACAATTTTTTTGAAAACGAGTTGTGTTTCCATGATAGCATTCTACTTCGTAGAAATAAAATTGTAATACCACAGCAACTCTGCAAGAGTGTATTAGATGCTGCATACGAGGGTCATCCAGGTATCGTAGCGATGAAGGGACGCTGGAGATCAAAGGTATGGTGGCCCCGTATCGATAAAGACGTAGAACAATTAGTAAAGGCTTGTAAATGTTGTACGTTAGTGGGTTTGCCAAACCCAACTGCACCAATGAAGAGACGAGAGTTGCCTGCAGCTCCATGGATAGATGTCACAATGGATCTAATGGAACCATTGCCAAGTAACGAGTATCTGTTAGTAGTGGTCGACTACTATAGTCGATACAAAGAAGTAAAGAATTACAAAAACATCACAAGCTTACAGATTATTAAAATGGTAAAAAAAAATGTTCAGTAGACTTGGTTATCCTATTTCTATCACCGCAGACAATGGCAAGCAGTTCGTGAGTGAAGAGTTTCGATCCTTCTGCAAAGAATGTAACATTAAGTTATTTAGTACTGTACTATATTGGCCTCAAATGATCGGCGAAGTTGAAAGACAAAACAGAGATATTTTGAAACGTCTTCGTATCAACCAGATCGAGAGGAAGGATTTATAAGAAATGTTTATGGGAGTATCTTCTAATGTATAACAGCACCCCTCCTTACAGTTACCGGGAAGTTAGCGTCTGAACTGTTTTTTCACCGAAAAAGTAGGGATAAAATTCCATCAATAGGTGAAATAAATTACAGACAATCATTTAGATTCAGATATCAGGGATAGAGACAAAATACAAAAAAGAAAAAGGAAAAGAGTATGTATATAGGAAACGCAGAGCAACTCGCTCAGATATAATACAGGGAGATAAGGTTTACGTAAAAGCAGTGGAAAATAATTAATACAGACAATACAAGCTGCTTTGTGATTGTTATGAGTTATAATGAAAAAAAGAAAAAAATCTTGATAAGAAAGAGATGTAGTGTATGCTTATATGTAGTATACAGTAAATATTGTTATTTGTTTTATTTACTAATAATTTACCATGCACAAATACACAAACATACATTTATATATAAGTCACTGTCTCGAGCGCACCGCGTCAGTTACACGAGAGCCTCGGGCGAGAGTGGACGTCTTGTTTAGTTAAAGTGCGTGCCGAGCCTGTGTTACACTACAGTGGTTAGAGAAGATAGCAGACATTACAGATGGGAATGACATTAACGTTAAAACAATCAATGTCACGTAATTTTACGTTGAATTGATTAATTACTGCCCCAGGATTTCCAGGTGTATAGTACTAACCCCGCAATCTAGAACAAAAACTGTCACAGCTGTGGATCGCGCTTATTTGTTATTTTTTTTAGGCCAATACTAAATTAAATTACATATAAAAATTCAACGTGGTAGAACCATGCTGCAGCTATATTATAGTTGTAGCATGAATGGGTCGGCTCGTCCGGGGGAGGACCACGTTCTTATAGAATACTAGCGTAAAATAGCAGCTCAACGCTGCTGTGTTTTGTATGCTAAGTGTAGACAAGCGGATACACTTTTTACTGGAAACGAGGCATTCCATCTTAGATCTCGCAGGTGACAACGCATCGGCTTTTTGATTCGCAAATGAGGATAACGAGGATAGATGTAGATGTCTTTGGGCCACAGCAACCACTTACCATCGGGTGGACTGTGTGCTCGTTTGTCACCCTTATCCTATAAAAATATTTATCTGAAATAAATTTTAAATCACGTTGACAAAGCGCGTACATAAATAATGACAGTATTTTCTTAGTCACATAAAACATTAAGTATTAGATAATAATAGATTGTTGAAAATAACATTTGTGGTCGACATAACAAAGAACTAGTCTTCTCGATCGTTCGTAGTCGAGTAAAGATATTTTTTTTATAAATACTTTGTTTTTTAACATTGTTGCATTAGTCCTTTGGAAGAGATCAATTTTAAAATGATAGGGCCTGTTGTACATAATATACTTTAAATTGTGCTTTACTCGTTTTCTTTATTGTCTACAATAAAGAATAAAAACATGCGTGAGTGTCGTGGAACACTCGGTTGGAATGAAGTTTTTTTCGTAGTTTATTATTATTGATAAACGTAGTATATTATTGGTTAACAAATACATATAAATGAATTACTAGCGTCTATTAAAATTAAGTAATATTTATTTTATGGCAAGATAAGAAAAAGTGCGTGGGAGATGGATGTTATTCCATCTCGCTTTCTTATAGCTGCCAAGGCCATCCACACTACGTCAGAAGGGGTTGTGACGGAAAATTCTTATACTTTTTTTGCTCCGCTAAATTCGTACCGTCCGTTCGTTCCAATAAAGGAATACAGTAGTTATAGAGAATTGAGTTTAACTAAGTGCGCAAGGCCGTAGTGCCTTGTAGCAAACATAGAAGTGTTTGCTGATACGGTAGTCGCGGTCCGAGTGAGATGGCAGTATACGGCGGCTAAGCACGAGAGCGCACTGACCAGCGAGGGGATCCCGGCGGCCTCGGCGCGCTTGAGCGCGTAGGCGTCCGCGCGGTTGCTGAGCACGAGCGCGATGTCGGCGCACGTGCACAGCGCCGGCTCGCGCGCCGCCTCCGCCAGCGCCTGCAGGTTGCTGCCGCTGCCCGACACCAGCACCGCCACCTGCACACCGACACACCACAACGCTAACATCGCTACATCATAACTAACATCGTAACACGTGTGTGTGTGCGTGCGTGCGCGCGCGCGCGTGTGTGTGTGTGTGTGTGTGTAAGAGAGAGAGTTACCCGCTTGTTGGGCAGCAGCGGCACGCGGCGCGTGAAGTCGAGCGCGGAGGCGAAGTTGTCGACGAGCACGCGCTCACCGCCTGTACGCCGCGCTTGTAACGACCCCACCACCATGGCGCCGTACGCGCGCAAACTGTTCATCACCTGCCAACAATACCACAAATCAAGCTGTAGGCATACAATAACTACTAACTAACAAATAAGCGAAAATGGTATGTCAGGATCGGTCTCTTGGCGATCAAGCCTCTCTGCCTACCGCGCTAAAGATAACGTAAGGCTATAGTAGTAATGCATAAATCTGTACCACGATCACGCACCACGTCAGATACACTCGCCGACCACCACACATCCTACATACATCTATCATCAAATTTTTTTTATACAATAAGAGTGACAAACGAGTACACAGTCCACCTGATAGTAGATGTATGCTATAGCCCATAGACAACATTTATCATCAATTAAGAACCGTAACACAAATATGTTGTTATCCCTGAGAAGTGAAATGGAATGACTCGTGCCTCGAGTTATACTGCAAAATTCAATACTAGGGCTTCAAAGTACGAGTACGTAAAAGTAACATAGTCAAAAACCAGACTTTACAATACTTGAAAGTGTTCAGTTTTTATGTCAGTATTTAGTCTAGTTCGTGTCGTGCCACAATCTTTTGCGTCACGCCCGCCAACGCCTCGAGCCCCGCAGTGCTCGTGACGTGTCCTCGACGTCCAAAGTTGAAAATACATGCATAGGAAATCAATAAGTAATCAAACATGTATGAGTAAAAAAACTTTTTTGAAAGTTCATAATATTTTTATTCACAAATACCATGGTGGTACTTATTAATATAAAGATATGAATCGTTTTCCTATGTAAGTATTTTCATGTCTGGTGTTTAAAGTTCATCACGCATCCGACTTTATAGCACATAATTTCATACTTGCAAGTATTTCCTACGCGTACTGGGACGCCCTACTTTAAAGGGAAAGATTGGTTTTAAAAACTTAAATGCGTCTCATCTCTAACGGCTACGCTATTGCAATGAGGCCTAATAATCTTACGCTCACCAGATGTCGCTAGTTAGAACTAAAATAAACTTATTTTTTACGCTGATGGTCACACAGTGTCATCATCACTGGAAATTTGCAATTTGAATAGAAGATTTTCGATTTCTAGTTAATTTATGTACACAAAACAATGCCTCGGTGCTGTATTCTTTAAGTTTTTACGCATTTTTCAACTTTTTTTTAATATAATTAATAGAATCAGGCGTTACTTTGCGGAAATCCATTATATAAAAGCTTTTACAAAAATTTACTTCGCAAATATCCGCGTTATAAAATAAAATGATGTGTCTTACCTAGTATGAAGAAGCACCTCCCGCCCTCCCTCAATTGCGTGCACTAACCCCGTCACCACTAATCCCAGCACCGCTACTTCCAACACCACTACACTAGGCAAGACACACCACTGACGATAATACGACACGTGTTTCGCCTCTACACGAGGCATCCTCAGGTGATATAGACTCTACGGTGGCTAACCGCTAAGTACTTAGCGGTTAGCCACCGTAGAGTCTTACTTAGTCACCGCTAAGTACTTAGCGGTTAGCCACCGTAGAGTCTATATCACCTGAGGATGCCTCGTGTAGAGGCGAAACACGTGTCGTATTATCGTCAGTGGTGTGTCTTGCCTAGTGTAGTGGTGTTGGAAGTAGCGGTGCTGGGATTAGTGGTGACCGGGTTAGTGCACGCAATTGAGGGAGGGCGGGAGGTGCTTCTTCATACTAGGTAAGACACATCATTTTATTTTATAACGCGGATATTTGCGAAGTAAATTTTTGTAAAAGCTTTTATAACTTTTTTTTAAATTCTTCTACAATACTCCAACGAATACAACATATTGAATAAAACTAGTTTTATGGATTTCATTGTGTTCATTTTACCTTACTTTTAACTCCCGTGCGTCATTTTTCCCATGATCGTTGCCACGCGAATTCCATAAAATTAGTTTGAATTAAAAGGCAAATAACTAACAAATAGAAACATAAGCTTACATCGGCTTGGTCTTCAGGCGCCACAATGAGCACCATACCTAAACCGCAGTTGAAAGTGCGCAGCATTTCTTCGTCCTCCACTGCACCAGTATCCGCAATCCAGGCGAACACCTAAATTAAAAAAAAAATATAATAATATATTATAGTACACTTCCGATGACAATTGTATTACCAAAGATTGACGTAAATTACAATGTAAGTTGTGATGTTCATGTACTGGTAACTGTGATCATCTATCCGATTGCTAAGTATGACAATAATAGCAAAATTAATCAGAGTCTCACGAATATAATATTGCCTTCGAAAATAAAATACTTAAGAGTAGAAGCAATACATACATATATATATATATATATATATATATAAACACATTTTATAGTTATCGCAAATTTCTACCTATACATAAAGTTGGAAAACGAAATATGGTGAGAAGCTATATCGCGTGGTAAAAAAGAGTAGTATTACAAGTGGTATATGGTGCGTAAGAAATCATACAAAAATTAAGAAATTAAAAATAATGTCATGAGATAAGGATAATGTATATAAACAAATAAGAGAAAAAAAAAACTACTGTATAGATTGCGGATAAAGCAATCGCGGCAGGTTGTGCAGCAGCCCGCCGCCGGCACGTGCACTGCACGCGCCACGTGTCACGCTCGCTACAGTACGTACGCACCGGGTGCACGTGCCACCAGTGCGCGTTGAGGCGCGCGCGCACGGTGTCGGGCAGCACTCGCGGCAGGTTGTGCAGCAGCCCGCCGCCGGCACGTGCACTGCACGCGCCACGTGTCACGCTCGCTACAGTACGTACGCACCGGGTGCACGTGCCACCAGTGCGCGTTGAGGCGCGCGCGCACGGTGTCGGGCAGCACTCGCGGCAGGTTGTGCAGCAGCCCGCCGCCGGCACGTGCACTGCACGCGCCACGTGTCACGCTCGCTACAGTACGTACGCACCGGGTGCACGTGCCACCAGTGCGCGTTGAGGAGCGCGCGCACGGTGTCGGGCAGCACTCGCGGCAGGTTGTGCACCAGCCCGCCGCCGGCACGTGCACTGCACGCGCCACGTGTCACGCTCGCTACAGTACGTACGCACCGGGTGCACGTGCCACCAGTGCGCGTTGAGGCGCGCGCGCACGGTGTCGGGCAGCACTCGCGGCAGGTTGTGCAGCAGCCCGCCGCCGGCACGTGCACTGCACGCGCCACGTGTCACGCTCGCTACAGTACGTACGCACCGGGTGCACGTGCCACCAGTGCGCGTTGAGGCGCGCGCGCACGGTGTCGGGCAGCACTCGCGGCAGGTTGTGCACCAGCCCGCCGCCGGCACGTGCACTGCACGCGCCACGTGTCACGCTCGCTACAGTACGTACGCACCGGGTGCACGTGCCACCAGTGCGCGTTGAGGCGCGCGCGCACGGTGTCGGGCAGCACTCGCGGCAGGTTGTGCACCAGCCCGCCGCCGGCACGTGCACTGCACGCGCCACGTGTCACGCTCGCTACAGTACGTACGCACCGGGTGCACGTGCCACCAGTGCGCGTTGAGGCGCGCGCGCACGGTGTCGGGCAGCACTCGCGGCAGGTTGTGCAGCAGCCCGCCGCCGGCACGTGCACTGCACGCGCCACGTGTCACGCTCGCTACAGTACGTACGCACCGGGTGCACGTGCCACCAGTGCGCGTTGAGGCGCGCGCGCACGGTGTCGGGCAGCACTCGCGGCAGGTTGTGCACCAGCCCGCCGCCGGCACGTGCACTGCACGCGCCACGTGTCACGCTCGCTACAGTACGTACGCACCGGGTGCACGTGCCACCAGTGCGCGTTGAGGCGCGCGCGCACGGTGTCGGGCAGCACTCGCGGCAGGTTGTGCACCAGCCCGCCGCCGGCACGTGCACTGCACGCGCCACGTGTCACGCTCGCTACAGTACGTACGCACCGGGTGCACGTGCCACCAGTGCGCGTTGAGGCGCGCGCGCACGGTGTCGGGCAGCACTCGCGGCAGGTTGTGCACCAGCCCGCCGCCCGTCACGTGCGCCACCGCCTTCACCACGCCGCGCTGCAGCACCGGCAGCACGCTGCGCACGTAAATACGCGTCGGCTTGATCAGCTCCTCGCCTAGCCAGCCACATGTAAACAAATTTTTGATCAATAATTATTTTTATACAGTTAGCCACACGAGAGACACGTCTCGGGTGAAATCAATGTCATAATAAACCATCAAACGGTGCCGGGCATGAGCGTCTGTCGTTAATTGACACCCATCTAAAGGATGATGGTTGATAAGAGGACGCGCCTTAATCTGCAAATGAATTTAAACGCATTGTAGGCATATTTTAGGGCAAAAAAGAAGTTGGAGGTTTTTTCGTACCGGGCTAGGATGCATCGACTCCAAACTCGAATGGCTACGACATGTCTGGAAGGCACTCCGTACGCTAGCCCAAAAGGCTAGCGTACCACAAACCCAGTTAAAGGCCCTCGAGACATCAAGGGAAACAGCAAGCGCCTTCCCACTTTTCTCGAAGACTTCGACCTATATGTGAGTGGCATACGCTAGAAGGTCCCAGTTGATTGATTTCGGCGAAACCCGTACTAGCGGTCACTGAGGAGATCATTCTATTCTAGATATGCCATTAGGTCGGTGTTCAATATACGCTCCATAATCTTACAGAGTATGGAGGTAATTGAAATTGGCCGATAGATAACAGGGTCGGCACGGCTGACCTTTTTAGATAGAAGGTTGTCTCGACCACTTTGGCGATAGACCAAAGAGCTCTAATGCCAGATGTTTTGACAGAGAGCTTTGCACCGATGTGTTTAATGCGGCCGAAACTGGCCTGCCGTAATGACTTTTTGCAAGACCAAACCGCCAGTTTGATTAAAGGATCTCTTCTTATGGCTAAGACCCGGAGGTTTGCGGTCTCGAGCATCGAACTTAGGATAAGTACGCTTTTTAGCACGGAATGGAATTGCTAAATATTTTACATCATGAATTTCATTTTTTTTTTTACTTTAAATTTGTTTTTCTTTTAATTATCTTATGGAATTGCTAAATAATACTGGTGATTTTAACTGTTCTATAGGAGTGGAGTTGAGAGCGGATAAGTGAGCGGTTCTCCATGTCGAAAGGGGTAGGGTCGCTTATTCCGAGGGCATAGACTTATCTATGCCCATCAATCATAAGGAGCCTTTCCGAGTTGGAAACTTACCGATACATGAGGCGGGTATTAAACAGTCTGTTTGCAATGTGTTTTATGCACGCTTTGAGCAGTGATTAACAACAGCATTTTGTTGGGTGTAAATAAGACACACGCATAAGCGGTTAGTTAGACGCCCATTACACGCCAAGACAAGCGTCAATCAGTTCAGATCAATCATGATTGACGTATGAATGATAGAATAATTTCGACATTACACGCTCATGCTGACTGATGTCAGTCAAACCCAAATTTTCGGAGAGAAAGGACCTACCTATAAACTAAGTTCATTTTCGATTCACCATTTAACTGTAATTTAATATCCTGAAAAGAAAAAGAAAAAAAACGAATAGGAAAAATTGTAATATTTAATATCATTTTACCCATTTTAATTTAACGCGCACCAATATTCGACTTCTTGGAGCACATAATCGATTCGCGGCTTTATTTGAAACGCATTTATGGACGAAAAATAAGCTTACGTTTTATATTCATTCGTATAGGGTGGATGCCCCTATTACCAGCCTTTTAGTGCCAATTTCAATTTCCTTTTGTGTACCTACCTAATGCCTGCATAACATAGGGCTATGCCTTTTGAGATTTTGGTAGGTACTTATTGTAGGTAAGTTTTAGGGGCACTGAAATAAATTCATAACAACTTATAATTTTAAATCATGCATACCACAAGCATGGAATATGTATTAAGATAGACGACAACAATTATTTTATTTTAATGTTTTACTTCTTACCTTACTGTGGTTTAGCTTTAAGCAGTTCCACTTTTCTTTTAACACTAAACAATTAATTAAAGCAAAATTATAATATTGTATGGTGTTATTAACATATACCAAATGTCTGAAAAGCAGTACGTATCATTTGCTAAACTTTCGAATCAAAAACGAATTTTAAAATATCGATGAATTAATCATAACTTCCTTAACTATAAAATAAGTTATGTTCTAATTAATTGTATTTATTCCAGTTTATGACATCCCTGATTTATATTACGTGGCTGAAATTAGGTACTTCATATTATGTCGAGGGATACTCATCCCAATTTACCTGTCCGGTAGTTGTGGTATGGTATACGGGTATGCGACCCCGGCTTCCCTAGCTATTACTGTCCTATCCCGTGCCCTTCTGGACGGTAATATCCTACATTTCCTATTTCTTGCCCTAACTTACCTTACTCTTCCTTTTCACACCACCTATCCTTCCCCTTTTCCTATTCCTACCCTCCGCCAATCCAACGTCTGCCGCGCGGATGGATGCATGGCTAGGGGCGAGCCTAGTCGTTAGCGTGCCATACTGCCCTGGGACCGGGCGACCCCAGAATTAGGCTAGCCTTACCCTGGCATGCGGGGCTCTGCTGGGGGGGACAAACCTTTCCCTCGCTATTCGTGGGAACGCAATGGATATTCATAAAAATAATTTAATTAACCAAAATGGCGGCGATGTTGTTCGCCACCCATCACGTCTCGTTTCTCGCGGGGGCGAAAAGTGGCCCACGGAGAGCCGCTTCGCTACGTTGAATGTAAGAGGAGGAATGGATGGTAAGGTAGATGAAGTATGTCAGATGATGGACGAACGTTGCATTGATATTCTGTGCGTGAACGAAACCAAGAGGAAAGGATGTGACACCACGGTTCATGGCCCCTACACGGCATACTGGTCGGGAGTCCCCCAAACCAGCCGAGGCTGTCAGGGAGTTGGTGTGATTCTTTCATCTCGAATGGTTGAATGTGTGATGGAGCATGAATGTATAAGCCCAAGACTCCTCTGGATTAGGTTAAAAGTCGGTCTAACTCGCTTATTTATCCTTGGGGTCTATGCACCAACGGATCTGCGTGGAGGTGGGTCATTAAAAACACAACAAGAGAGAGAGGAATTTTGGGATAGCATGAGAGAGGTCTTGAATAAATGCGGAGAAAATGAACGGATCGTGATGTTAGGGGACTTTAATGGATGGGTTGGAGTAAAGCGTGATGGGTATGAAGGAGTTCTGGGTACGTTTGGGGACGAGAGAGTGAATGACAATGGGAGAAGCCTGCTTGAAGTATGCTTGGAATGGAATCTGTGCGTGGCCAACACAATGTTTGACCACAAAAAGATCCATTTGTATACAAGAGATGAGGGTGAGTCTAGAAGTATGATTGATTTTGTAATTGTGGATGAAAGACTGAGGAAGAAAGTGCTAGACACTCGGGCATACCGCGGTGTAGGCCTCGACACAGACCACTTCCTGGTCATAGCCCGAATGCGTGGCCTCTTTAAACGGTGGCGACACCGAGTGGCCGAGCCTACGAGTGTTTTGGACAGAGTAAAAGTGGAAAATCTACAAGAAAAAGAAAAGAAAGACGAGTATGTAGAGAAACTGAAAGAAAGTTTTAAAGAGATAGAAGAGATAGGAGTGATTGAAGATTTGTGGGAGACATTTAAGAAAGAGGTCGTAAATGTTGCTATTGAGGTATGCGGGGTAGCTAAAAGAAGGAAAGGAAGAAAGAATGATAACGTGTGGATGGATAAAGATGTACAAAAGGTTGTGCAAGAAAAGAAGAAAGCGTGGTTGGATTGGTCAGCAACAAAAGCTAACCAAAAAGTTCAAAAGGCAACGGATGACGAGATAAAGGAAGCAAGAACGAAGTATAAAAGATTGAAAACAGCAGCGAAAGAAATTGTGTCTAGAAAGAAAGAAGAACGAAAGGATGATTTCGATAGAAGGCTCACTGAAGATTTCCAGTCAAACATTAAGTTTTTCTGGAAAACCATCAAAACAGCCAGAGGAAAAACTTCTACCTCTGAGCTGAGTACAATCAGGAGTCAAGATGGGAGCATTATAAAAGGAGAAGAATGTGTGTTAAAGAGATGGAAAGAGTATTTTGAAAGTTTGTTTGAAAGAGAGAGGTACAGCATCTGCCACCTTCCACGGAAACAAATATAAATGTTGATGAAAATGAGATAAGCATGGATGAAATAGTGAAAGCGTTGAAAAGTATGAGATTAGGTAAGGCTGCAGGGTATGACAGGATTACCGTCGAGATGCTGAGGGCTGGACAGGGCCTGGTGGCTAGTCAGCTGTACCGCCTTTTCAATCTGTGCTGGCGAAATGGGCAAGTACCGGGAGACTGGTGCAAAGCTGTAATCGTGCCATTGTATAAGGGAAAAGGGTCACGGCAGGACTGCATAAATTACCGCGGTATTAGCCTTCTCAGCGTCGTCGGTAAATTGTATGCGAAAGTGTTGATTGAAAGGATTGTGAATGAAACAGACAAGAAAGTATGGGATGCACAAGCGGGATTTAGAAAGGGAATGGGATGTACGGATCAGGTCTTCTCTTTGCGGTGCATAGCCGAAAAGTATTTGGCTAAAAACAAGAAAGTCTACTGCGCGTTCGTAGATCTAGAAAAGGCCTATGATAGAGTGGTGAGGAATGAATTGTGGTCAGCACTGTCCGTGAACGGTGTGAGCAGTATCCTCATACGAGCAATGCAATCTCTTTATAGGGATTCTAGTGCTTGTGTAAGGATAAACGGGGCATACACTGAATGGTTTAATATCGAAAAAGGTGTTAGACAGGGATGTGTAGCGTCACCGTGGCTGTTTAATCTGTTCATGGACAATTGTTTGACAGATTTAAAAGAGAATGAAAGTGGGTTGAGAATGAATGAGTTACTCGTCAAATGTTTTCTCTATGCTGATGACCAAGTATTACTTGCGTCTTCGGCCGAGGAGTTGCAGGAGATGGTAACTGCTATGAGTGGAGCTTTTGTTAGAAAGGGAATGAAGATGAATGTAAGGAAGACGAAAGTGATGGTGTTTGAAAAAGATGAGGCAGTGACAGACTGCAACATTGTGATTGAAGATGAACAAATTGAACAGGTGAAAGAGTTTGTGTATCTGGGTTCAAAGTTTACAAGAGATGGAAAGTGTGAGAGTGATATCGAAAGAAGAGTGAATGCAGGAAACATGGTGAATGGAGCTTTGCACTTCTTTATGAGCAGTCGGAAGGTGTCTAACAAGGCTCGTTTGGCTGTGCATGAGGGGGTGTTGGTTCCGACACTCATGTACGGAAGTGAAACTTGGGTATGGCAGAAGAAACATGAAAGCAGAATAAATGCAGTTGAGATGAGAGCATTAAGAAGTATGATAGGAGTTAAACTGAGTGACAGGATTAGAAATAGTGAGATAAGGAAACGTTGTGGTCTGAAAGAAGACGTAGTGACAAAAATTGAGAAAGGTATGCTGAGATGGTTTGGCCATGTTGAGAGAATGAATGAAGAACGATTGACGAAAAAAGTGTATAAGGCGAGTGTGAATGAAAGTGTTGGAAGGGGTAGACCTAGGCGGACATTTCTAGACCAAATCAGGGACGTCTTGAAAAAAGGCCAGGTCAAGAGTACCCTAAACCGTAGAGCATGTATGAAGGGAATAATGAAAGTGGACGAAGCAAAACAAGTATGTAAGGATCGTAGCAAGTGGAAAGAACTGGTCTCTGCCTACCCCTACGGGAAAGAGGCGTGATTATATGTATGTATGTATATTATGTACGTCAAACCAAACAACAGCCGGGCGGCTGACATTAAGCACTCCATACATTTCGTATATCTAATTACAGCCCCATTAATTTCCACTAAAATAAAATAAAAAACTTATAGATTTAAACAAAAATAGCTGCATTATTATGCCTATAGTCACGTTCATATAAATCAAAAAGTCTAAAGATAAGCTAATGTAAAATGTGCTTAATTGTATCGGGACCATAACTTGTCAAAAAGTGGAGTGGCGACGGGCTGCGCGAGCGCGTGGAAGCCGCCTCTTCAATATATTCTGCGTCCGCCTCCATTGCTGTCTTAGTGTTGACTGACGCGCGATTGACGAAATGCCATTACACGTTCAATCAAAATTCGTGACTGAAAGTTGATTAGGTAAAAATCAAAATATCCAGATATTTGTCAATCAATTTCATGCAACCGTCAATCACCGCATTACACGGTAGGTTATTCGTCAATCACAACCGTGATTGTTGTAAAACTGACAGCAAAACCTACCGTGTAATGGGCGTCTTAGATCATGCCTGTGTTCATTTATGTCTTTGGCATACTGAGGTTGACTAAATGTGAAATTAACGCCATAAATAGAAAAGTCCGCACTACTACGACGTCACATAGGATCCATCATACGAGATAGTCATTAACGAGACTGTACTTGCCGCTGAAGAATGGTGGACGTGGCTTCATGAGCGCTCTCGCCATGCGTAATCATAGTGTGCAGCCTCCTCTAATTACTTTCCGGCGAGATCGGATGATCCACTCTATAAGGGCATCATTTCGTGTGATTAAGATTTCTCTATCCTTAGCCAACCCATAGCAGGACCCAGTAGCACAAAGCATTTCCGATCCACCGGGAAACCCTATTAAATGAGAAGGAACTACATGAGAGGTTCTACAAGGGTCTACATGAACCTTTCGTAGACATACTCGTAGTTGCCTCCCTTCACTGGTTACGTTAAGGTATCCTATTTAGGGAAAAGTTTTTGTTTGTGCAATACAAAATCAGGTTATTAAGATTAATAACTATCGGAGATACATCTTAAAGGATGGCACCGTCGACAACTGTCGAGTTTGTCGCCATCCCGGTGAGTCACGTAGATTGTCATCTCCGGTTGTTCGGCGCTTCCTATCTCTGAGTACTTGCACAGACACAACCTAGTAGCCAGGATTATACACCAGGAGCTCGCTCTGAAGTACAGTTTTGTGGATCGGTAACTACCTTATTACAAGTACTTGCCGGAAGCCGTGCTCGAAAATAACCGTGCTAGGCTCTACTGTGACCGGGCCATCATTACAGACAAGACTATCCTTGCGAATAAGCCTGATATTGTGCTGATCGACCGGACACAAATATATTTTTGGTGGAAAATTCATATTTAAGTAAAATTGAAACAAAAAAGGTTTTAGAAAAAGTTACTTCGCAAATATCCGCGTTATAAAATAAAATGATGTGTCTTACCTTTTATGAAGAGCACCTCCCGCCCTCCCTCAATTGCGTGCACTATCCCCGTCACCACTAATCCCAGCACCGCTACTCCCAACACCACTACACTAGGCAAGACACACCACTGACGACAATACGACACGTGTTTCGCCTCTACACGAGGCATCCTCAGGTGATATAGACTCTACGGTGGCTAACCGCTAAGAGATATTTCTTTTCACATCATTTTATTTTATAACGCGGATATTTGCGAAGTAAATTTTTCTAAAACCTTTTATATAATGGATTTCCGCAAAGTAACGCCTGATTCTATTAATTATTAAATTGAAACAAGTTTGCAGAAGGACATCAAAATATTTTGGTCTTTTGTAAACAATAAAAAAATATCTGGTATTCCCAACCTAACGTCTTACAATGGAAATGAAACCGAAAATCCGGAGGATATAATATGTGAACTGTTTTCTAATTATTTTACTTCAGTTTACGAGAGCAGCTCACTGATGAGTGATAGAGTACGAAATAAATTCAATGCCTTGCTCATCAAACACTAACTTTATTATCTCAGATAGGTATATCATTTTCAATAAAACACAATAGTACAATGTCTAAAAAACCTAGATATAATTAAGAGTCCAGACGAGACGGTATCTCACCTTTTTGCCTTAAACATGCTGCTAGCTCTATAAGTGTACCTCTGTTCTATGTATAACCGCAGTTTCCTTGAAGGTTTAGTGCCCACAGTTCCTGACTGATCAGCAAAAATAACCCCTGTGTTTAAAACTAATTATAGACTAATTATAGACCCATTTCCTTACTTCTCGCCTTATCAAAAGTACTTGAACGTTTAGTATATAATTCAATATATCAGAGTTTACACATTTTTTTTAAATTCCAGAACAACATGGTTTCGTAAAACACCGATCAACTATCAGTAATCTTATTTTATATATATACAAATTTGCCATTTGATAGTATGGACAATCGAATACAAATTGATACTGTTTACACAGACATTCTAAAAGCTTTTTATTAGGTGGATCATTCCATCCTTCTTCAAAAACCTGCGTTTAATGGTATACGTAGAAACTTATTGCAATGGTTCTCTTCGTACATTATTAATAGGATCCAAAAAGTTGAATGGGGAGGAGAGGTCCTCCCCCGAGAAGGGGCTGCCACGGGGCGGCCGGCGCTGGTGGGGACGCGGATGTGTGCGTAAGCGTTCCCGTGATCCTGCCAATATGCGGCGAATGTGGAACACCATGGGGTTTTAGTCGGTGCGAGTCCGACATAACCCGTCCTTGCCCCCGCGAGGCGGGTATGCGTAGGCATTTCCCCATGTAAAAACAGGGACCCAAAAAGTTGCGGTTAATAGATTTTCCTCTAGCGAGAAAATAATATCCTCAGGTATACCACAGGGATCTGTACTGGGTCCGCTGCTTTTCATATATATACAATATGTACCAAAAACCCTGTGGTTCCCGTTAAGTACGTTATCAGGACCATTATTCAAACGTATAGAAATAACTTTGTTTTTAAAAGTCGAACAATATTTTTTTTAATATAATTGTATGCAAATTGTATGCGGTTTTATTACCTCTGCATTGTCTGGGGAGTAAGAGGATTGTCAAAGACCCCGCTTTACTTAGCTTTAGCATCGGCTAGTGTCAGTAAGAGGTAATAAAAACACATAAAATTAAAAAAAAAATCAATAAAATAAAAAATATATGTATGGTCGAGTTTTAAAAAAAAGTTATTTCTATAGGTTTGAATACTGATCCTGATAACGTGCTTAACGGCAACCACAGGGTTTTTGTTACATGTAGTATATTATATCGAACCTTGTTTTAAAAATAGTAATTTTTTTGTTTTATACAGACAATCTAAAAGTTTATTTAAGTGTAAATTCCCTTAATGATTGTGAGAAGCGACACGAAGTTCTTCAACGATTATCTAACCATTGTCTAATCAATAAATTGCAATTGGGCATCGTAAATGTAAATCTACTTTCTTTATCCAAAAACGTAAAAATTTACAATTCAATATTTACAGCGCTGTCGTCACGTCACAAACGGAACACACCAAAGCCTAAATCACGTTATTAAAGTTTCCAAGTACTGTGCGCTATATATAGCACTCTGCACTTACACACGGAGCATTGGTCGCTCCCTGGGCTGAACACCTTGACCGGCGTGAGATCCCCCATTTTCTTTCCACATCCAAACTGGTGACCCCAAGATGCACCACGTATATAATGCAAGATGCATTATATACGTGGTATAGCCATGCTGCAGCTATATTAGTAGTATAGTTGTAGCACGAATGGGTCGGCTCGAACGGGGAAGGACCACGCTCTCACAGAATACCAGCGTAAAATAGCAGTTTAACACTGCTGTGTTTTGTATGGTGAGTGTAGAGAACCGGAGACCCTTTTCACTGGAAAAGAGACATTCCATCTTAGTCTTCACGGGTGACAACGCATCTACATTTTGATTCGCAAACGAGAATAAATGTAGTTTTGTATGGGTCACAGCAACCACTTACCATCAGGTGGACTGTGTGCTCGTTTGTCACCCGATCCTATAACAAAAAATACACACAAACTACTCACCCAGTGTCAACCCTTCCTTGCTGAAAGGCGCTTTGTCGTTGAGAGTGAGGCCGGCCTTTTTCATCAGCTTGTGTATCAGACTGAAGCCGTTGCTGTGGACGCCATTCGACGGCAGACCTATAATAATATCACCCACCTGAAAAGTAACAGTTGTTTGTTAAAAAAATCATGAGAAATACCTATCAAAGAAGTGGAGAAAGTTTAGTAATGATATGGTTAGTAATAAAATGTATCTACGTACAGCGATATCGTTGATCTTAGGCAGTATTTGCGACCGTTCCACAACACCGAGTGCGAAGCCGGCGATATCGTACACACCGGGTGGATACATGCCGGGCATTTCTGCTGTTTCCCCACCTGAAATAACACGTAAATTAACTATTATGGACATAGATTTTAATTACATATTTATTTATATTACAAACTAGCTGTTCCCCGCGACTTCGCCCGCGTGTTAGGGTTTTTATGTTTTTGCGCGGAACCCTAATTCTTTTTCTAAAATAAAAGTAGCCTAAGTTACTCCTTATAAAATTAGCTATCCACCAGTGAAAGTCCCGTCAAAATCGGTTCAGCCGTTTCGGAGATTAGCCGGAACAAACAGACAGACAGACAAAAATTTTAAAAATTGTATTTTAATTATAAGTACCGTATTTACTTTCATATGCATTTAGTAAAAAACTGTAATTTTGACATTACAAACAGACACTTCAATTTTATTTATTTGTATAGATGTATAGATTTTGTAAACTGCATTATATTTTGGATATAATTAATAGAATCAGGCGTTACTTTGCGGAAATCCATTATATAAAAGCTTTTACAAAAATTTACTTCGCAAATATCCGCGTTATAAAATAAAATGATGTGTACTTCGCAAATATCCGCGTTATAAAATAAAATGATGTGTCATTTTGTATTTTGGACACAACTTATTTTAAGATATAATCATGTGAATGGCGTCATGAATACGTAGGTCACTCAATAAGTTTTGAGATGCTCGAAATTTAAAAATGGAACGCACCCGTGTTATATGCAAAAAAGCAAATTTATTTAAATATAGAACTCCATAAGCCAATGAGGGCTAATAATTTTCTGCTCACCAGATGTCGCTAGTTGACACTGAGGTAAAGTTTTTTGTTACACAATGTAATTTAGTTGAGAAGTTGGTATTCAATGAAAGTTTAGCAGTTTATAGAGTTTTATAATACATACAATATAATACACAAAACAATGTGTCAGTGGTTTGCTCATTAATTTTTGCAGATTTTTAACTTTATAAAAAAAATCTACTTTTAGTTATGAATATCTGTGGTTTGGTTTATTTATTTTTAATCTGTTTAATATAAAATATAGCTAATAGTACAGAAAGAAACAATAAACCTTACATTTTCCAATCAAATTAGCTTCCCTGCTATGAAATCTGTCAAATATTATACCTCACTTTCTAGTGGCGCCGCCCTGGTGGCAGAAAAAGTTGTGGATGCCCTCATTGCTCAATATTAAAAAAAAAAACAAGGTTCTATTAATTTTTCTACAACGCTTCCCGCGTTTTTCATTTAAAACGATGGATATTCACCGTGAGCATTTGCGCGCTATGATATATTATTATGATTTTAAATTTGGTATAACCGAACAATTAAGTTTACAACGGTCACAATCAGCATTAGGGGACTCAGCTCCATCACGCGCAAATTTTTAGGTGGTTTGCTGAATTCAAAAGGGGTAAAATTAATCTTAAAGATGACCAAAGAACCGGGGCCCCGCAAACAACAGTAATGGCAGAAAATGTATGGACTACTGAAATGTTGGTGCGAGAAGACCCACATATACCGACATCGAAAAGATTGTAGGCATTAGTTCCGGAAGCATTCATACCATCCTACATCAACATCTTGGAGTGAGGAAGCTTTATTGTCAGTGGATCCCTCGTTTGCTCTCCGAAAGCGAAAAACAGACTCGTGTGGATTGGTGCCATGAAATGCGTCTACGTTTTGAAAACGGGGCATCTAGGCGTGTTTTAGAAATCGTTACTGGTGACGAGACATGGATCTATCAATATGGTCCGGAAAATAAAAGGCAATCATCAGTAAGGGTTTACTCAGAAGGACAGTTGCCGACAAAACTGTAAAGACCTCGCAACTTCGGCAAAAAAATTGTGGCTAGTTTTTTTTTTCGCGGAGCGGACATTTGTCGAAGTTAATGCTGTAAAATTGTATGTCAGTCAACTCTGAATGGTATACTACAGTTGCATTACCCAAAGCTTTCAAGCTGTGCGGAAAAGAAGACCAAAGACCGCGCTTCGGGGAATCATGCTGCATTACAATAACGCCTCTTCATACACCTCCCTTAGAACAAAAGCATTTATTGAGGAATCTGGTGTTGAAACTCTAAGTCACCCACCCTACAGCCCTGACTTAGCCCCTTGTGATTTCTTTTTGTTCCCAAGAGTCAAAGAAAAAATAAAAGGCAAGTTTCTGAAGAAACTGTGGCTGCCTACGAAGAAGCGATTTCCGATCTGTCAGATCAAGACTGGCAAAAGTGTTTTCAGAGTTAGTTTAGGTGAATGGAACTTTGTATAGAGCATGATGGAGAATATTTTGAAAACATGTAAAATAAATATTAATAGTATCTAGAATACTTTTTGTATATCTCAAAACTTATTGAGTGACCTACGTATCACCAGATGTCAAATGCGTGTGTTGTGTCAGATGCTTGAAGCGCCAAATGTGTGTGTTGTGTCGGATGCGGATGCTGGGTAGGTGTACGTGCCGATGAGCGCGGCGGAGGCCTGGCGGCAGCCCTCGGCGACGCCGGCCACCACCTGGCGCGCCACGCGCACGTCGAGCGCGCCGCACGCGAAGTAGTCGAGGAAGGTGAGCGGGCAGGCGCCGTTGCACAGGATGTCGTTGACGCACATGGCCACCAGGTCCAGCCCCACGGTGTCGTGCCGGTCGATGCTCTGAGCGATCTTCAGCTTCGTGCCCACGCCGTCCGCGGCCAGCACCAGCACTGGGTCCTGACATGCACCGTTACCGTTACAGTCAATAAGGTCCGCTGCTTAACATAGGTCTCCCTCATAGATGTCCTCATATGGATGACATGCACAATGATACTTAAATATTTGTGAAATAAAAACTTCTTTAGAATCGTTGTGATTGTTATTTTTTACAAATCGAACTAACGGTTTTACTGATGTAATGTTTTGGTAAGCAAACATTTTAGCCCACGGTGACATTATAATTATACTGGCTGACTGACCCTTCAAATCAGTAGGTACACAACAGCGGGTGGTAAGTAACACAAGACCAATACTAACTGACTGCGCAAACATAACAATCATCTAAGATAGCCGCAAGAAATAAAATTACTTACAGCTAAGCAACTGCTGCAATTCATTAAAGATATAGGTCTTGCATTAGATAAGTCACATTAATCAAAATCAGTTACTTCGCTGTCTATATGATGCTTCAAAATTTCGTAAGAATTTTTTCGTTATCGAATAGTATGATACCCTCAAAAATACTAAACAAATAGATAGACAAATGGATAGATAAAACATTTATTTATTTCTCCAATCACATACGTAAATTCAGTCACTAAACTACTCGTAGGTACTATATAATGCTATAATGTATTACAAAAAAAATTACATATTAATTATTATTATATAAATTGTTATTGGACAACTATGAACAAGACATTAAATTTTGAATGCATTACATAAAATAAAATAATAATTAATGTAAACAATAATGGTGATAACGGCAGCTCAACTGATATTTGTAAAAGTGATTAAATAATTTTTTAATCACTTTCACATTTAAAAGACTGCACTAGAATAAAAAATATTTTTAATCTAGTGCAGTCTTTTATTAATATAACTTTATCTTTAGATATAATCAGTAAACAAGACATATGAAACACATGATAAATTTTGTGTGTTGGGTTATCTGTTTCTAATTTATTCTGATATAAATCTAGATAAAACTACTGAATAAATAATAGTACAAGAACAGAAGAATCAATCTCTGATAGCAAACTTGCGAGTTTAAACCTAGTTACAACGTCGCTAATGTTCATAATATTTTGCACGCCTTGGAAGAGACATTCGTGAAATTAGCCTACGTCGAAACAAAAATGAATGCTGCGCGCGTATTAGATCAAAATGCACCTTACGTCTGCGTGCAAGTGTCTGTATAACTTAGCCCGTTACGTGCCTTTGTTAAGGCCGCCACTACTGTAGGGTTAGGTGTTCTGAGAAAACAAATTAAATCCTTTGATATTAGTTGGTATATAGTAAAATACACCGAGGTGTTATGCAATGTATTAGTGTTTTTTTTATTTTGTTAAAAACGTTACCCGCACACTAGGACTTTCTCCTGTATCGTAGAGGCAGTTTACAAACATAAATTGCACAAAGACAAACATCTAGACCCAGAACAATTATTTGTAGGCCATACAAATACTTGTGCCACTGCCTGCTTAAGCCACTGCGCCACAGAGCCATCACTTGTCTGTTTCACATTTTTGCTATTTACAAACATGCGACACGCGACGGTATTATTAATGAAAGAGTGGCAATGCTATTTTCAATCTCTTTCTTTTATCGACCAAGTGTTAAACTAATAATCAGTATATGCTTATCTTGCATTAGTAGGCAATCACTGGTGCTGGGAGGCCTACTTACACTGAACGATTTTAAGGTCATTAGCATTATACGCGAAAAAATCGAAAACTGCGAAGCTGTGGTCGGGTTGCTAGTCAAATAATAAATCTGTAACTATGGCGTCAGTAAATAAGTATCTATTTATCTAGATCGGTATCCTTAGTAATAGTAAAGGATGAAAAGTCGACATTCCTATTATTATTTAAGCACCCGCATGCTGTGCAGTACCTTTTGGCTTTTTGAGAGGCCATACTTGAATAAAAACTCAAAAATAAATATCAAAAAGGCTAAATACTTATTTTTTATGTCCAAAACGCGGCCTGTTTCACGCCTGATAAAACTAAATGATTTCCAAATTTAAAGAATCGATATCTCTTAAGAAATGAATAAGTACTGATTTTTCAGTTGGAATGCCTAGTCCAATAAATATGACAGTTGCCAAAGGGTATTTGTTAGATTTGGTGGAGTATAATCAGAACAACCAAAACAGTTTAACAGGGTTTAATTATACGAAGCACATTATATACTTTCAAAATATAACATACCTTATATTCTTGCTCGATAGCTTTCAGTTGGAAACAACCACCAAAGCCACCGAGACCACCAATAACTCCTGGACGAATTGTAGCCCTGAGGAAAAAAAAATTGAAGCATCTGTAAGATTCAAAGTACACAAACGTACAAAGACAATCGTTTCTGAAATATTTGACCAGAATGTTATTTACATTCATTGTTAGATAGACATCATAATTCGATTCCATTTGGAATATGAAGCGGTAGAAGGCTTCATATTTCAAATATAATGGTAGGGTGCGGTTTGCAAAGTCAGAGTCGTGGGTTAGAATCTGCTTCTCGACTACCGTTGTCAGTCAATCTTAACTCAAGCATTTTTCAGTTTACTTAGAGTGGTTTACAGGGGCATTAGTAATGTAAATAGCAATACCGGTATTTTTTCTAGAAGATGAAAATATGAATGGTTCTTTATTAACTAGTGCTATGGCCACACTATCTTACCGCCTACCGCCCGTTTACCGCAATAATTGTGGCATTAAATTACTGCCTAAATTATTGCGTGAAGTAGTTATTTTACACTAGAGTTACCCAGATACGACAAACGACAACAAAATACAGAAACGACAAAATTTATTATTTTCCAAGACAGAGGTTGAAGCTGCGGCGGTGTTGTGTATCAGTTACTATTATATGAATCTTTTACATTTTATCAAAGCTAAACCAAGACTTAAAAAAGATGGTGGATGATAAAAATAAACAGAAAGCGTAATAGGTTAGTCTTTTTTTTCGTTGAACTCATATTGCTCACTGAAGAAACTGTAGTGTGGCCACTTAACGTAAAAATTACCGCGGTAATAGTCTTTGATATGCGTAAAAGCCTGTCACCGGAGTTATTGCCTACCGTCATATGCCATATTGATTAACATTATTAAAATTATGGCCATAATTATTGCCACAGGAGTGTGGCCGTAGCATAATAATGTATGAAGCCTGTGTCTATGAACTGGTAATATTTTAAAATGTCTAAAATTAACTTACGCACCTTGCTAAAGGCTTGATAAGCGACACCAGCGAGTCACCAGCCTCGATGTCTACACCGCTGTCTTTGTAGGAAAGTGACTTCTGGGGCACTTGTTGTCCGCTGAAGTATGGCGAAGTTAGGGGCGCCATCGCTTCCTTGAAGTTCTCCACCACCACTTGGTGACCTCCTGCCAAAACGACACTTAAATATCCTGGACCAATGTAAGCAACGAAGGGCTAAGGTAAGGCACATCTCAATATATACAAAATATCTCTATGATTTCAGTAAAGTACGGTACTGTACCTTACTTTATCTAAGAAAAGGATTTAATGTAATAAAACGCTAAAAATTGCAAGAAAAGAAAAGAAGATTAACGGTCGCATTTTAAAGTGACCTTTAAATAAGATTAGTCTTTTTTTTTAAATAAGTCTAAAATATTTTTATTTTATTCGGCATAGATAATAAAATTATTTATTTTAATATTATTCCACGCTTTCGAACCAAACAGTTTGCTTCACTTTCGTAATGCGTACAGGAAGGGAATGGAATAATCTGCCGGCGTGTATCTTTTCGTTCGAATACAATTTGGGTGTCTTCAAGTAAGAGTAAATAGGCTTTTGTCACACACTTCATCATCACTAACCAATAGGTAGGAATAAGAAAAGCACTAACATGTAATTAGTAAAAAAAATATTCTATCGTATAAAATCCTTGACTATTTCATCTTGTGGGTATTATAATAAGCGACTATAGAAAACTAAAACAGTCGCATGGCACCCGACAGACGGCGTTACAACCATCTCTTTTATGCCCTGCGTGAAATCCCTAGAATGGCATCGCCGAACGGTGTCGAAGGTGTGAAAAGGTGCTATAGCGTTCGCCAACCCGCCTGTTAACTGTGGCGATTGTGACAAATGCTCCATACTCCAACACTCACCTTCCTTCCCCATAGCCTCGACGACACCGATGACGTCAATGGGTTCTGTTACCATAGCCAGCAATTCGTCAACACAGGCTGGGTCAACGATCGCCACCATACCCACTCCACAGTTGAACGTGCGAAGCATTTCGAAGTCGGACACCAAGCCTGCCAACAATGAAAAATTGTGAGAAAAAGATATATTCTCGCTTGTTATATTCTATATATGTATTTAAGAAATAAACAAGTATATATAAACCTTGAGAAGTAATTTGTTACATAACTTCTAAAATCCGACCGAAAATGTGTATTTATATAGGGTTCTTTTTAGCTTAAAATGAAAAAAAAAATCGATACGAACTGCATTTTCAATGATAATGATGAACAAAAAGCGACAATTTCAAGTTACTCAATCAGTTGAGTATGTATATTTTTTGTAGTTATATTGTTTATTGTGTAAAATCCTAATACAGTGTTATTTTACAATAACCGGCCAAATTTGCAGAGATGGTTCCGAACAAGTAACATAGGCAAATGGTGAAGGAAAATTAATTTAAAAAATCTCGAGCATTGCTTTGAAATTGTCCTTTTTATCTTTTCAATTGAAAATGTGTGGTAATGCATTATTTTAGCTGATTTTTCACCACACGCACACATTCGTAACGGTCAATCGGTAGGCAAAAACGTTGTTGCTCACAAATCACATTCAATTTGGGATAATTTCAAATAAGAGTAAGAAGCCGTATTTATTCGTATTTTCAAAAACTGCAATAACGGTTTATCATTATTTATATATTTGAACTTAAGTTTAAAATATTGGCTACTCTTTTAAAAATAACCCTGTATAACGTTTAAAAAAAGACCGTGTAGTGACGACATTTTTTTTGACGGCTCTGTGGCGCAGTGGCTTAGCAACGAGTTACGGTGCTAAGGGCCGCGGATTCGAAATCCCGCACGAAACAAGTATTAGTATGGCCTGCAAGTAATTGTTCCGGGTCTGATTGTGTGTTCTTGTACAATTTATGTGTCTCCACGATACAGGAGAAAATCCTAGTGTGGAAGTCACGTTTTAAAAAAAGGCGGCAAAGGTCAATGAAAGAAAAGAACATCATTAGCATCTTCTTGATAACAACTTAAAATAATTAAAAAAAACTGCAAACCTGCCCGCCAAGCGTGATATAAATAGCGGCAGGAAAGTCTAGCGGTGATCGTTATGGCGCATAAGTCACGCTGATTGGCTTATTGCCTATAAGTCGCGCTGATTGGCTTCGTGCCTATCGTTCTGATTGACTCTCCAGTCGCATTTGTGCAATTCAATTCGTTCACGTCCCCTTCATGTTTCGTTCAGTGCTAGACTTACGTGCCGCGACTTGTAACTATAGCAAATGTTTTAAACGATCTATGGAAGAGGCCTATGATCTAATAAGTCAATAACATGGGTCGATAATAACCCCTGGGAATAAGGTGGTCTCTTCCAAGCTGTTTCTTAAATAAGATTTGTAAGTAGTATCTACAACTTTTCTTAATGTATAATTTACTTTGAAAAACAATGTCTCGCTGGGTTATTTTTTTCTAGTAGTAGGGTAGTGATACTAACTGTGGACAGTTAGTATCACTACCTTACATACACAAAAAACAGAAAAATAAGAAAGTTGTGTTTGTTCCAATAAATGAACATCGCTTGGAGAGGTTTAGAAGTAATATAATAAAAAGACTTCCATCACTTTCGTTTAAAAGTAGTGCTAATTATTTGTATGCTACATTATTTGAAATCATACGTTGTGAATTTAGTAGAATATTTACTTCTAAAACTTTCTCTCTTAACAGTCGCAAATCATTTAATGAATGGGCGACAGTAGGAATTTATAAAAGTAGGCGAAGGTTATACGAGCTTTATGATGAAAGATCATATAATAGTAGTGTTATATTTAGAGATTATGTAAAAACATATTCTAAAATATTTAAAAAAGTGTGCTCCACTGCTAAGGCTTTACATTTAAGCAACAAAATTAAAACTGCATCCGACAAAATTAAAATGACCTGGAGAATAATAAATAGTGAAACGGGCAAGGTCAAACCGCGCAACTCCGATTTTCAATTAAATATTAACAATAATTTAACACGATCTGATCAAGAAGTTGCTATGGCTTTTGAGAAATATTTTACGGATGTTCCTTTTTTGACAACAAAATCATTAAATTCTTCTCCTACTGTCGCCGAATCATTGCTCAAACAAAATGTAAAGGCTTGTTCAAATACTTTTAAATTCCATAGGGTACTGCCAAAAGATATCGTTAAATATTTTAAAACTATTGATGTTAAGAAAACGGCAGACTTATGGGGGATTTCCGTTAAAGTTATTTTATCTATAATAGATACATTAGCACCTTATCTAGCCACTATATTTAATATAAGCGTCGAATCTGGTGTGTTTCCTGATTTAATGAAACATAGTAAAGTCATACCTATATTTAAATCTGGTAGTACATTAGACCCCGCCAATTTTAGACCAATTTCTGTACTACCAACATTAAGTAAAATTTTTGAAAAAATTATTTTAGATCAGATGTTAAGTTTCTTCAATATTAATAAATTGCTACATAAAAATCAATTCGGTTTTACAAGGGGTCGCTCGACAACTGACGCTGGAGTTGAGCTTATTAAACATATTTTTTGTGCATGGGAGAATTCAGAGGATGCTTTGGGTATATTTTGTGACCTTTCCAAGGCCTTCGACTGTGTTCACCATGAGATATTAATCAGGAAGCTACAGTACTATGGTGTCAAGAACACAGCGCTTAAACTTATTATTTCATATTTAAGTAATAGAAAACAGAAGGTTATTATCAATGGTAAAAGTTCTTCCGGGTCACCTGTACTAATGGGTGTTCCTCAGGGCTCGATTCTCGGCCCATTCCTGTTTCTGGTGTATGTTAATGACTTACCTCATCTTGTAGGGGATAGACATGATATAGTATTATTTGCTGATGATACTTCCTTGATTTTTAAACTTAAACGTCAATCATTTAAATGTGACGAAGTGAATAATGCTATATCAAAATTAGTGCATTGGTTTAACGTTAATAATCTGCATTTGAACGGAAATAAAACTAATTGTGTTAAATTTACAACAACGAATGTTAAAAATCTGAATACCAATGTGTGTTTTAAATGGGGAGGAATTGAGCCCTGTTGTATCCACTGTTTTTCTTGGCATCACTCTTGACGCAAAGCTACAGTGGGGCCCCCATATATCCAAATTAGCAAGCAGACTAAGTTCTGCAGCCTATGCTGTAAAAAAGATTAGAGGTCTCACTAGTGTCGAGACAGCTAGATTAGTTTATTTTAGTTATTTTCATAGCATAATGTCTTATGGGATTTTGCTATGGGGAAATGCGGCTGATTCAGAAACTATTTTTGTTTTACAGAAGAGGGCCATTAGAGCTATTTACAATCTAAAACCGAGAGAGTCCCTTAGAGATAAATTTAAAGAAATTAATATATTAACTTTGGCCTCTCAGTATATTTACGAAAATTTAATGTATGTTCACAAAAACAAAGATAGTTTTAGTAAAAGAAGTGATATACATTCTGTAAACACTAGGAACAAACACAAGCTAGTGATACCAGTTTCTCGACTCCACAGAGTCAGTAATTCATTCTTGGGGCAATGTATACGCTATTACAACAAGGTCCCGGAAAGTGTACAGGTTCTCTCTATTACCAAGTTTAAATGTTTTATTAAGCTGAAACTGTATAAAAAGGGTTATTATAGTATAAATGAATACATGGTTGATAATAACCCCTGGGAATGAGGTGGTTTTTTCGAACCAGTGGTAAAGTAAAAAATGACTTTCAATAAGAATTACACATGTAATGTATATTGAATAAAAAATATTCTATTCTATTCTAGTTCTTCCCACGAAAAAGGTTTTTTTTCGAACCAGTATTAAAAGAAAAAAATGACTCAATGACAATAATTACTTGTAATATTAAACAAAAATTATTCTATTCTAATCCCATTTAATGAGGGGGATATATTCTTTAATAGTACTATTACATTAAAGCGAATTTTTTCGACAGAGTTTTCCAATTCTTACGAGGATACAATATAACTAATAAATTTTTATCACACTAGGTTAAGTTAAAAGATAATTGTTGCCTGGATTTATCGTAAACCCTCTTAGCATGGGACTTTATTTTCTAATCTGTATGTGAAAACTATAAGTTAATTTCTACATAAATGTATAAAATCGATTGATTGTAAATAACTATAGGTTTTCCTTAAATCAATAAAATAAAAGAAAAGCGAGTCGTACCTTTGGCCTGCAGCCAGCCGAAAATGGGCTTTATCTTGAAGGCCGTAGCATCCAATCTAACGCGCAGGTGCGGCGGCAACACCCTCGGTATGTTCTCTAGCAGGCCGCCGCCCGTGATGTGTGCTAGCCCCTTAATGAGGCCCTTCTTCACCGCGGGCAACAATGCCTTCACGTAGATACCGGTTGGCTCTAAGAACTCCTCGCCGTACGACTTGTTCGAGGTCGTAAACGCCGCTTTTTCATTGTAGCTAGGGATTTCATTATACATTTAATTATGGATTGATAATGGGAATATACTTTTCCAACTGATACGGGAAAACTTTAGGGTGGTAATTACAGTCAGTTTAAATATAAAACGAGCAGTAGATTTATTTTTTGGCTGTAACAGTAAAACAAAAAAAAATATGCGTGAACAAAAAAAGTATTGGATCGAAGTTCCTTTCGTAGTATATTATTCTTGATAAATGTATTATATTATTGATTAACAAATACATATAAATGAATTACTGGCGTCCATTAAAATGAAGCGTCATTTAAAATAATATTTCTTTCACGGCAAGTTAAGAAAAAGTGCTAACGAGATGGATATTATTCCATTTCGCTCGTAGTAAGGAGGTCGTGATGGAAAAATCATACACATTTTCTTGCCTAGCCTCCATTTGTCAAATTCGTACTGTGCGATAAGGAACTCTTCGTTCAAATAAACACCAAAGGCGCTTGTGCACTAAACGGTAATTTTACTCCGTAATGTCATGTCAGAGGTCCAGTGTTGCCAACTCGGTGTTAGGTTTTTGGGCCGAATCAAATTTAAATAATTAAACTTGGAAAAAGTAAAAACTGATTTAGAAAGACTAAAAAGAATAGTAAACTATAATAATCATATTTCAAACAAATAGGGCTTCAGTTGCGTTGTCACCTCTGAGGACTAAGATGGAATACCTTTGCCTTAGCTTTTAATTAAACTAGCTCTTTAAACCCTTCAGATTGTTCCGGTGTAAACTCTGTTATTTGAAGGCAGAAATAGGTGAGTGTGGTATTCGTACTTATTTGCACAAATTAGTTTTCTTAATTGTCATCTTCATGTATTGTCATGATATACTAGAATATATATATTATGATGGCCAGTAATTATTGCTATTGCTTTTTTTTTGTAATATCATCGTTTATATGATGATCCTGACAAACGTTTCTAACTGAAACGTTTGTCAGGAAACATTGTGAGTTAAACATAAACCTCAAAGGGTACAAATTAAGCGCTTCATTTTGCAGGTCTCATCAAAGGCGTGGTGGTTCTTGTATTTTACACTGTAATTCAATAACGACTAAAGAGCTACCTTTTCTAAAGGAATTGGCATAAGAAATGACTTTCGAATGTTGTGGATTAGAAATAGTAGACTATAAGATAATCCTTGTGTGTATTTACCGTACTCCAACAGCGAACGTAAAAATATTTTTTAATAAACTACATCTTCTTCTAGACAAATTAAATTCATTTAAAAAACAGATAATTATTACAGGAGACTGGAATATTGACACCCTAAAAAAAAGTAATACCTCGGACGAATTAATAGAAATACTAACTAGCTACAATCTAGACTTGCATATTAAAACACCTACACGATGTGAGTCTTGTATAGATCATTTCGCGAGCAATATAAAGGAAGCAGTCGGATATACTAAAGCTGTGTGCTTATCAGACCATAACACAGCTCAACTATTGTCTGTACCGGTTAAATTACGTAAAGCACCGCTTAAAACTTGGTTTGAAATAAGACGTGATTATAGTATTGACAACTTGAACAAATTCAAATATGTTTTGACGAGCTACCCATGGCGAAACCTTATTGACTTCGAAAATGTAGATGATGATTTCACACTATTTCATAATGAACTTATTCTCTTATATAATTTATGTTTTCCTAAATACAAAATTAGAATTTTTAATAAAGTTAACACAAAATCAAAATGGCTAACCAAGGGCTTAAAAATATCATGTCAAACTAAAAGAAAGTTACGTTTGTCTTATTATAAAAAACACACATATATTACTAAAAATAAATACCGAGAGTACTCTAAAATACTTAGGAAAAGTATACTACTGTCCCAAAAAATTACTAATGAGAAATATGTTAATACAGCCAGGAATAAATGCAAAGCCACTTGGAATATAATTAATAACAAAGACGAAGTAAATGACAAACATAATATTGAATACCTAAAAATAAATGACAAAATTATAGATAATCCATCAGATATTGCAAACGCATTTAATAATCACTTTATAGACTCGACAAATGTACCTGATAACTATCAAAAAAATTTAAGTAATCTGAAGTTCATCGAAACTACTTCCGCATCTATATTTTTAAACCCTACCGACGAAAATGAAATAATCAAAATGATAAGCACTCTGAACAATACAAATTCCACAGGTCATGATGCGATATGTACGAAGATAGTTAAGGCTTGTGCAAGTGAGTTGGCACCTTTGCTGGCACATTTTGTGAATCGTTGCTTTGAGGAGGGTAAATTTCTGAGCACTCTTAAGATGTCCATCGTCAGGCCACTATTTAAACACGGAGAGAGGCATAATTTAAACAACTACAGACCCATTGCACTTATCCCAGTTTTGTCAAAGATATTTGAAAAAATCATGCAGTTCAGATTAATTTCTTTTTTCACAAAACACTGCATACTTAGGGAGGAACAATTTGGGTTTCGCAAGGAAAGGTCAACAGCACTGGCCTGTTACTCCCTTATTAAGAAAATATCGATTCATATGAGCAATAGGGTTCCCGTATCCACCATCCTTTTCGATATGAGTAAGGCCTTTGACTTTGTCAATCATAGCACTCTTCTTAATAAGCTTGAGCGTTATGGTGTGCGAGGACCGGCCCATGATTGGATAAGGAGCTATATCAGTGAAAGGACTCAGTATGTGGAAGTACCGAGGCTGGATGATGGGTGTCAGAGTGTGACGTACAGATCGGAGATTAGGGCGAATAACTCAGGTGTCCCACGGGGCAGTATATTAGGACTACTACTCTTCATTCTGTACATCAATGACCTTCCAAAGTGTACGCAATATCCTGTTACACTCTATGCTGACGATATTTCTATAACTATACATAAAAACCCTAACAATAACTATAATGATGAAATAAATAATGAAATAAGAAATATAACGAACTGGCTAAAGTATAATGATTTGAAAATTAATACAAGTAAAACAAAGTGTATACAATTTTACAACAAAAATGGTAAACCCCAACAACTATCGATACACCATGGTAACGATCCCATTGCTATGACCACATCAGCGAACTTTCTAGGTATTATGATTGATTCCGAACTCACATGGCAGAATCACGTTGAAACTGTATGCCAGAGGATTAATAGGTTTGTGTTCGCTCTGTATCGTCTGTCAAAATTAGCTAACATTAAGACAGCTCTGATGGCATACCATGGATACGTTGGTTCTATACTGAGATATGGACTGATTCTGTGGGGAAATTCGACACACATTTCTCGTGTCTTTATACTACAGAAGAAATGTATACGATCTATATGCGGTATCGGTCAAATGGAATCATGTAGACCTTTCTTTAAGAAGTTAAAAATTCTTCCATTACCTTCTATGAAATATATATATGAAATTTTAATATTGACCAAAAAAAAATGCTAACCACTTCACAAAACAACATAATAATTGTGGTGGTATGAGAAGGTACCCGTGGAAGTTATCTGTACCACAGGCAGCCACAACTTGTTTTACTAGAAATAGTTATAGCATGTGCGTTCGATTATTTAATTTACTTCCAAACCATATTCAAAACTTGACATTTAATCAGTTTAAAAAAGTTATTTTCGGGACTCTCATTGAACACTGTTTTTATGACGTAAATGAATTTATTAAATTCTGCCGTGACGGTCACCTCAAGCGAATTGTTGTTATTTGAAATTTTAAATTGACAAATTAATTAGAATTTGTAAGATTGACATTATACTAGTTTGACATTATGCATTATGACATGACCATGCCTGTATATTTTTTATTATTTTTTTCTCTTTTTACATAATAAATTTATTGACATTATATTGCTTTATTAAATTTTGATATGAAACGTTATTGTAATTTTGTAATTTTAATTATTCAATTATTGCATGTCGACTTAATATTTGCACACTGATAAATCGGTAAAACATGCATGTTCACATTATATTATAAGACCTAAAAATGTACCATGTTTTATGCAAATAAATATTTTATTATTATTATTATTATTATTATCATTATTGCGATTTAGAAGTAATTACTACTCAATATAAGCATCTCCCAAAGATAGCCGAAACACTGTTCTGAGGGTCATGAATCGACTTGTGGCAGGCCGGTTACCACTTGTGTTGGTACTGGAGGCAGTTACCTGTGGCCAGTCTCGCTCATGATGCGCTGCACGAGGCTGTAGCCGTTGCTGTGCACGCCGCTGGAGGGCAGCGCCAGCACGGCGTCGCCGGCGCGCATGGCGCTGACGCGCGGCAGCTGCTTGCTGTTGTCCACCACGCCCACCGCGAACCCGGCCAGGTCGTACTTGCCCACGTCGTACATGCTCGGCATTTCAGCAGTTTCGCCACCTGTTTAAAAGAATGCTTACGATAGCTATAAAACTCTTCGAGTGGGTTTATATTTGGGAAGCCCTTTATCTAGTGGTAAACTTTAAAATGCCAAAACCTATGCCTAAGTGAATTGAAGAAGCACATATACAGCAATGGGTTGTTTGGCTAAAGAAATGCTAAACATAAAAAAATATTAAGTGCACACGATAAGGATTGGGTTTACTTTATTGGGGTTACTTCAATACGAGCCTTTGGGGCCGCTTCTGGAAGAAAGAGTTCATCATAAAGAGCCCCTCTTTCTCCATTAAGTCGACCAGCTGCTGGCCCCTTGAGTTCCGTTGGCCTATTCTGAATTTCCCTACCTTTAGCTCACCGTTCTCACTTGTGCCTAGTTTTGGGTTGAAGCCTCCCATTAACACCGTTGTATGGTTACACCACACATTTTTATTTAGTAAACGCTGCAACCTACTTTTAGCCGCGCGTCGCGTGTATTTAAATTGACTTAATTAATTGCATTCTGACAATCGTCAGTACGTCAACAACCGTCCTTCTAAACACCAAGTACTCAAAAAAAGATTTAACTTTATAACTATTTTACTTTTATTAAACTTTAACTTTGGTGATCTTTTCCTTTTGACGTACTCAATAACTAACTACAACTCTACTTCTTGAAAAGTGTGTGGCCTTACAAACCATACAACCGTATAGTGGCTTTTGAAAGAATGCATGGCTTTAGAGATATCCTCACACATTTTCTCCACCTCCACATTGGGATGTGCAGAGGTTGGTGCGTAAACCTGTATGACCTTCAACGAATACCGTTTGGTGATTCTGAGTTTAAGGTACGCAATCCTCGTCGACACACTCACAATCTTCACAACTTTGTTAACGAGAGACTTGTGAACGATAAATTCGACACCTCCTTGGGACAGATGGTCGTCCTCTCGGTGATAGAACAAGTTGCCGGATTCGAGGAGTGCATGCGTTGTATGTTGACAGGTCGAGAAATCTTAAGTGGCAACCGAACCTCCGACGGAGATTCTTAGCACTCCCTGCCCCGCCGTTACCATGGTCACCACCGTAGCCAGAAATAGCGGGGTCGCCGGGGACTGGAGGCCGTCTGTTCGTAAATTTAATAATGAGGGGTATACTGCCATAGTTGCCACGCGTGGCGAGTGCGTTGGCAACCGCAGTTTTTTTATTGTTGTTTTGCTGTTATCAGAAAGATGTTGTTGCCCATCTTCTGTATTAGTTTCCCTCTGTCACCTCTTACGACACTCACGGGAAGATATGGGGTAGTGGATATTCTTAACCGCCACTACACGGCTTCGGCGTCTTTCGAATAACGACTAAAAATAAAAAACTGCGATTGCCATCGCGCTTGCCTAGCGTATCAACTATGGCAAATGGCAAATATCCCACTATGAGGCAATCTATGTGGAAGACCTATGTTCTCCAGGAGACTTTATCTTTAATAGGCTGGAAGACCTCGCACGATGTTGACGGTCGCAAGCCATGTAGTCGAAGATGGATTATCTTACAATGAAATCACACAGCAATTGTCAACCTTAACAGTGTAAATATAAGGTTGTATTTACCAAGCAGTGCGCAGCCGGCCAGCTTGCACGCGTCGGCGATTCCTCGCACGATGCTCTCGGCCACCTCCACCTGCAGGCGGCCGCACGCCATGTAGTCGAGGAACGCGAACGGCTCCGCGCCAGCGCAAAGGATGTCGTTCGCGCACATCGCCACCAGGTCCTGGCCAATCGTGTCGAACTTTTGCAGCCGTTGAGCTATCTGTAATCACACGCAGCGATAGCTTCATTCATAAAAATACCAGTTGTTGTGAGGGGGGGGGGGGGGGGATCGCGTCACTAATTTTTATATGATGTATAGATCGTTAGGAAGCGTAAGTTAAACTTTAATTTATAAAATCTGCAGACACCATCCTAATAATCGAATTACTAGTAATAGTAATCATATTACTCTATCGTATATTTTGAATCAACTTTTAGTAGTGTCTTAAAACTTGGTCGATTTTCCATTTTAAGTGAAATTAGATTTTTAATATCTACAATTGGTAAAATTAACATTTATGTACAACCTACTTCAATATGTAAATAATTTATTGTTGATTTTTTTAAAACGGCTCGACCGCTCTCGATAAAATTTAAACGGGACCACCTGGGAAGCACCAGTAAACCCTTTGAAACAAAAAATACTTTCCAAATCGGTTCAAGCATCTTCGAGTAATCGGTGAACATAAACAAAAAAAAAAGATTCGGAAGTCGGTTGAGAAATACACAAATAAGATGAACACTTGACAATAAAAACTATGATGTCATTACACATTATTGTCATAAAATCTCTTAAGAAATATTTGTTTTGATAAGTTTTAAAAATTATAAATTTTATTTGTAGAATAACTGTGACAAAAAAGCACACAGTCCACCCATGGTAAGTGGATACTGTGGCCCATAGACATCTACATTTAGTAGTAGACTAGTACATCAATTGACTAGTACAATATAAAATTAAACACCCAATTGAAATGCTTTTATTTGTTTTTACCTTTAGCTTGGTCCCAACGCCATCAGTCCCCTGCACGAGCACGGGGTCTTTAAGCTCCGGGTCCATAGTAGACAGCTGGAACAGTCCACTGAAGCAACCTAGCCTTCCTAAAACTCCTGGCCGATGTGTTGCAGTCGCTAAGGGCTCTATCTTGCGAACAAGTGTCGCGGCCGCGTCTATATCTACACCACTTTCGAGGTACGAGAGACCGTTTAACCTGAAATACCAAGAGTCTATTATGATTTCAGAACTCTCTTGATAATCTGTTATTAAAAGATATATGATGATGATAGATAATAAATTTGCCCACCGCAATAAAGAAACACATTACATCATCATCTTCATCATCATTACAGCCCATCACAAGTCCACTGCTGAACATAGGCCTCCCCCAAGGAATGCCACAAAGCACGGTCCCGAGCAACCTGCATCCATTGACAATAGAACCAGAATAACCGACATAGCTCAAGGAATTAGTAAGCAGAAGTGACAATGGGCCGGCCATATAGCTCAAAGAAAGAAAGAATTACATACCAAATGGCAGGCTCCGAAATAAAGTTCTGATTCGAATTTTTGTCGGAATATATTTTTTCTTAATAACTTATAGGTAGTAGGTTATGTAAAATATATGAACGTAGATACAGGATATGGTACAAATGCTATCCATCCGTATAATGTAATATACTTGTTATCAGTCTCGGCTCCGCACGGGTGATTTCTTGATTCTTAACGTGGTAGAGTATATTAATTGTATGGTTGTAGCACGAATGGGTCGGCGTGGAAGCACCACGCTCTCACAGAATACCAGTGTAAAATAGCAGCTGGATGCTTCTGTTTCGTATGGTGAGTGTAGAGAACCGGAGACCCTTTTTACTGGAAAAGAGGCATTCCATCTTAATACTCACGGCTGACAGCGCATCTGCATTTTGATTCACTAACGAGTATATATAGATGTCTATGGGCCACAGCAACCATTTACCATCAGGTGGACTGTGTGCTCGCTTGTCACCCTTATCCTATAAAAAAATCTCGACAACAACCCCATCAATATACTAATAAACCATAATCGATTCATCAGAAAAGGTCGACCCAGTTTCGAGTTTTAATTTTTAGTTTCAGACTAACGGACGGCAATTCATTTTCATATATATATAGGCTAACTGTCCCCCGCGAGAACATCCGCGTGGAATTTGTTACGATTGGATTTCATTTGTTTTAATTTCTTGGCGCGGAACACTAATTCTATATACGTGGTAGAGCCATTCTGCAGCTATATTAGTAGTATATTTGTAGCACGAATGGGTCACTCGACCGGGGAAGGACAGTGCTCTCACAGAATACCAGCGTAAAATAGGAGCTTAATACTGCTGTGTTTCGTATGGTGAGTGTAGAGAACCGGGGATCCTTTTTACTGGAAAAGAGGCATTCCATCTTAGCCCTCACGGGTGACGACGCATCTGCATTTTGATTCTTTATTGAGGATAAATGTAGATGTGTATTGGTCACAGCAACCATTTACCATCAGGTGGACTGTGTGCTCGTTTCTCACCCTATACTTAAAAAAAATCTTTTTCTAAAATAAAAGTAGGCTAAGTTACTCCTGATAATATAAACTCTAAATCTGTCAGTGGAAGTCCCGTCAAAATCGATCGCCATTTCTGAGATTAGCCGGAACAAACAGACAGACAAAAATTTTTAAATCGTTTTTTTTGTTATTAGTACCGTATATACTTTCTCATGCATTTATTAAAAAACTGTTATTTTGACATTACAAACAGACACTTCAATTTTATTTATTTGTATAGATATAGAGGATATGATATATCATATAAGTGGATGGCAGATTATCGCCTGAAGATTTCATGACGGTGTATTATAGTAGTTGTTGAAATATCATGCTTTAGCTTAACAGGATATTACATATAATGAAGCTCACGTATATGGCACTAACTTTTTATAACCGATGTGATTTGAAGTAAATTACTATTTATGTATTCTTTTATATAGGAGGGGGCAAACGAGCATGTGGCTCACCTGATGGTAAGTGACTACCGTCGCCAATGAACAACTGCAACACCAGGGGAACTGCCTTTTAAAAAGGAGTACGCTCTTTAAGGTGGCACAAGTCGCGGGCTCGAACTCGCTGGTGGACGCGGCGAAAAAGCACGCTGTCTCACCTGGCATCGTGCCCGACAGAGATAGTATCAGTGATGAGCATATCGACACTAGTATTCACGCATGTCTTGTTCGTACGGCATTCAGAACCGTTTGAACAAAAACGAAGTTACACGAACACGATGCAACATCTATACTAATATAATAAAGCAGAAAATATAGATCTTTACTCCGTCTAAAAAAAGTCCGCGATACCATATGTCTATTTTTTATATATAAGCCACAATTAGGCATTTTGATTTTGACAAAAAAAAATGAAATTTTAATTATTAGGCATGACATATTTATCCTTACGAACGAAAGTTACTTCATTATCAAGACAATTTTTTGAAGATAAAGTTCGTTCTTTATACCATGTTTATATAGTACATAGGTTAAGAGATAATGTAAAATTAAAATAATTCAATACTTCGCCTTGACGCGCAAACAACGCATAACCCCTAGCCTAGCCCGGTGCGAACTGAGAAGCCAGTATTGAAAGCTTCTATGAGCGAGGTTAGGTTAGCCGTTAATTCAATCATTATCTATATCTACACAAATAAATAAAATTGAAGTGTCTGTTTGTAATGTCAAAATAACAGCTTTTTACTAATTGCATATGAAATTATATACGCTACTTATAACATTACCATAATTTTTAACATTTTTGTATGTCTGTCAGTCTGTTTGTTCCGGTTAATTTCCAAAACGGCTGGACCGATTTTGACGGGACTTTCACTAGTAGATAGCTCATGTTATAAGAAGTAACTTAGACTGCTTAAATTTTAGAAAAATTATTAGGTGTCCGTGCAACAAAATTAACACCCTAAACTAAATGCGGACGAAGTCGCGGGGAACAGCTGGTAGCTAAAATAAATTCAAAATTAACTGAGTGCTTTTATCTATCTCCCAGGTGATTGTAACAATGATTAGTTACATCTTTATTTCTGAACTCTTTCATTTCACGTTGCTATGGTATTTTGAAAGTTTAATTGATTAATAAGTATAAGAGGTTGATAGCAAATTTATCAAGAATCATTTCTTGCCTACACACTTTCATGTATCGTGTACGTTTTTCTTTAAAACTGGATAAAACCGCGCATAGTATGCCGACAGATAAAATAAAAGTACTCCATTAATTATGACAATTTTTCCATACATTATTATCAAATAATATATTTGATTGCAATTATAAAATGCTTGAACTAGGTGTCATGTCATGCCACGCATCTCGGACACGTGATGACGCGGGTGAAACCGCGAAATTATTAGGCGCTGCTTTATCGCTTCATATTATACCTCTGTGGCTCTATATACCTAATATAGATTGCTTACTTTATTATGTTTAGTTTTTCCCGAGTGGTCATGCAGCGATCACTCAAGAGTTCGGCTTCGAACGTGTATAACTGCAAAAATTATCCAACGGGAACGAAATACCTGAATAAACGGTATCATATATGTTATTTACAGCTCCGTGGCGCAGTTGCTTAGCAATGAATTGTTGCACTGGCAGCCGCGGGTTCGAATCCCGCACGGAACAAGTATTTGTATGGCCTGCAAATAGTTGTTCCGGGTCTGGATGTTTGTAAACTGCCTCCACGATACAGGAGAAAATCCTAGTGTGGAATATCCTCATACATTTCCTCCAACTCCTCATCGGGGTGTGCCGAGGTTGGTGCGTATGACCTTCGGCGAATACCGTTTGGTGATTCTGAGTATAAGGTACGCAACCCTCGTCGACACACTCCCAATCTTTACAACTTTTTTAAAAAATAAAAAAATAATAAAATTCAGACTATAACCTATCTCTGAGCAAAATATCATCCAGGTCCCTTCAGCGGTTCTGGTGTGATTGAGTAACATACATCCATTCATCCGTCCATCCAAATATCCAAACTTTCGCATTTATAATATTTAGATAATAGGTAATTGTAATTAGTTCTGCCTACCTATAAATTGTTTTCAAAAATACTTCCCTGTCTTCTTACTTTTTTATATATACTCAATATCACTAAATGTAAACACAGGTTTTTATCAAGACAAGTGACCCATCAAGATTGTTTTCTTAGTACTGACGTACCTACCTAAAGTTTACAATTTTGTGGCCACGACGCGGTGACGTTTTGTGACATTTTGTTGTATTGTAGGTTGTAGGTATCTAGGTAATAACAGTAGGTACCTATGAAAATCCCACATAATGTACCTTGTTTGTCCGCCGCAAGAGTCGTCTAATAAATAATTAAACTGTTTTGTAATTCTTTATTTATTTATAACACTTGCATTGTGAGCCGTAGTAGCTCAGATGGTTAGCGCTCGCCGTAAGTATCACATTACGCGAGCAACCCGGGTTCGATCCCCGTCGGCACCAATGAAATTGTTGCAATTTTATATAGTAATCGTATATAGACTTTACTTTTTTTACTTTTATAATTATATTATATTACAATATTGTCTGTCGTCCAAAACGCATCATTCATCTCTTTCAATTATATCAATTTCCATGCTGTCTTTTGTCTTTGGCGTCCAAATTACAAAATAGCAAAACTTTTCGTTTCGAATAAAACTCGAATAAACGCGCGTCACCGCCCGTGCATGTGTGTGTAAGCGTCGTCCTCCCGCACCGCACCGGGGGAAACATTATTCAGTGAGATGCACGATAATTCATAGTAACATACGCGCGTAAAAAAATACGAAAAGGCCTTTGGAAGAAGGGGTTTTATGAAAAAACCACTGCATAAATCAATTACGAATAAAATTTATTGAATTCTTCGATAATTGAGCTGTGTCGGTACCGACTTCGTTTTGGAAATTTTACACTTATTTTATTACTAATTTACGCCCAAAGTTGTGTTAAAATTGGCAATAAAAACGAATCTTTGGTAGCCCGTAACTTTTTAATAACATTTTATTTTACTATTCTGTTTCCGTACAGACAAATTTAATAATGAGACAAAACGATATCATGTTTAACTTTGGATGTACACTGTCAAACAGCGTAGTAAAACCCCTCCGAATTTTGTATGGAAATATTGTCGACTAGTGTCACCTTAATTGATGCTCCCTAAGTCGAATCGGTTCGGAAAAATATCTGGTGGTAGCAGATTCTAAAAGGAAGTATTGCGAGGAAAAAATTTTTTTTGTAAATCGTGGTGGACCGCCAATCATCCGGATGGTATCGCGAGTTCTGCCGCGATGTGCGATGGTGAAATTGTGCGGCTAAAAAACAATTAAAAAGCAATTCCTCAGAGCCCTCCCCATGGTAGATGCGATAGAATATGCATAGAGATGCAACATTTTTTCGCTGCGTTAGTGAGTCGAAGCCGATCAGACAGAACTCGGTCGTCGATGATTTGAACCGCTTTGCATTGGATGTGTCCAAGAGGAAGGAGCTGGCACTGGAGTGCCCCGTATCAGAGATGACAACAGTACTCCAGGTCCGGACTTGGGCCTTGAAGTTGTGAGCAATGTGCTGGCATGAAATACTGTCCCGCTCTACAAAGGACGCCAAGCTGTTTAGAGTTGAATAGATTCAGCAGTGCATCTATAGGGGTAGGGCCTATATGTCTCATAGGGAGGATATTTACCCATATTTGCTACGCTTGGCAACAGGGTTGGCAACCGCAGTTTTATTTAACTGTTATCAGGAAGATATAGCTACCCATCTACTGGTTCAGCTTCACTTTATCGCCTCTTACGACACCCACGGGATGATATGGGATACGATTGTGTCAAGATTTAATTACTGTATTAAGTGTATTTTACGAATACCAATCTGTTATGCTCTTATTTGTCTGGTAAATTAAATGCCCTTTACATGCCCATGCTTATGTAACCCTAACTTCTACATGATATCTATGTACGCATGCACAGGGTACGAAATCAAAAGCGAAATTAAAAAAAAAATGTTTATTACAAAATCAAAACTCCAATGTCTTAATTGCATCAATATTTTTAAGAATTCAAACAATCACATTCCAAATATGGTAACATTCACAATGGTTTTAAGCCGTTATGATAATGAGTTTCTTTATAACAAAACCCGTTCACTGCTCAAGTGATTTCGAACTGAAACAAATTGATACACGTGAACACAATACGCAGACAAATGACAATTTCATTGAAACACAAAATTGAAAAGGTGTTAACTTTATAAAAATTACAAATGAGGCAAATGAGTGAAAATTAAGCAACAAAAGCGAATTTGCTACTAGCTACTGCGTTTGGATTCAGACATGTTACAAGTCAAATCAATCAAATTCAACAAAAATGTTATTCTGGTTTTCTAAAAAAGCTTGCTTCTAAGCCGATTGTAAATTGCAGTGCCCGCGTTATCAACTGAGTCATCGGGCAATAAATCATTGTAATCAGTCTATTTCGCTGGCACTCATGGGGCTTAGACAGAGTAGCTTGCTAGCAGCGATCCGGTTAAGCCGAGTGTTTCGGCTATCGCTGCGGAAGTTTGCGCGAGACCGGTTTCGGGTGATTAGGGTCTAGAATATGGTTTTGGGCGCGGCTTCGCTACGTAATTGAGTTTCGTGAAATCCGCCTCGGATTTGGTGGTCTAGGATTTAGGTTCCCGTACCAGAGGCCTTTATGGGGTTTACGGTTTAAGTAACTTCTTTGAAAGTAATTGTGCATATTAGCTAGATGAAGTGCGTGTTTCTTCGTCATGTAGATATGTGAATTGTGCGATAGTTAACTCGTGCGAGAGTGCGGATAGTGTACGCGCGTCGTGGAGATATACGGTCTAGGATTAAGCCGCGCATCCCTTGTTTGAGAGCTTCTCCCGGTTAATTGTCAGGATATCGTTGTAATGGTGTCGTCGCGGTTAGTGCCCTTTGTGTTTGGGTTACCTAGTTAGATTAATTTGCGTGTCAACGAGGCGTATTTTGACTCTGGCGCGACGTGTTATTCTGGTGCCGAATTTATAATTTGTGATAAGTGAATCCAGGACATTCAGTGTCGAATTTTGTTCTGCTGTCCTTGCCGTGTCGGATATCACGTATTCGATTCTGCGATGAGTGTGAAATTATACGAATTGAAGTTAGTTAAATGTACAATGAAGCTAAGAGACTGAATTAGTGACAATGAAGAAAGAAATGGTCCAGCGATGGAGCCTGTTGGAGCGACGCAGCATTTTGAGGCAGCCTGGAACTCGACCGCTGCTGATCGCCTAAGCTTGCTCAGGTCGCAGACATTTACACCTCACTGTACACTACTCGCCATCCATTATTACACACACTCACGGCCTGCCCAAGCCTTGGTGCGAAGTTAGCTTCGGATAATGGTAAGTACTATGTGTTTCTAGCTTGCTCACATATACTTTATTATGATAGGAAATTCCACGCGGCCATATTGAGGCCCGACCTGCGTCTGCTCGTGAAGTCTTCTGCTGAATGGGCCCCAGAGGATTTCACCCTTGCTGGAGCAGCCGTAGGCCGTAACACCAGTGTTTTATTAAAATTAAACTGGGATATTTTATCGGGATCACTTTTCAAATCATTTAAAAACTAAAATATATTGTGAATAACTATTGGAATTTGTACGTTAATATCAATTTTTTGAAATCCACGTTAGAGAATAAATTTTCCATTATGCACAACTATCGAGATCGAAGTGAGAATAAGTCCGCCGCGATAAGGCGGACTCAGGTAGCGAGTGGCGCACTGCGGTGGCACATTCCTATTGTTATTGACATTTATGGTCCGACGACACAGTTGATAATGCGGGCACTATGGTGCAATCATAACTTATCAAACATTAAGGCGAATTTGTTTTCACCTGTGGTTCTTTTGTCCGTTTTGTTCAGTGTGACTATGTGTCTGTACGGTCGATTCTCTGGCTCTCCGGACTCTTTGTCTATTCCGATCCCGGCTAAGGCGAGCCTCACGCTCTACTGACGATTCTCTATCTCTTACTAAGCGTACTCTTTTTGCATTCCTTGTGTTACGACCTATGTTCGACCTACGACGTCTTCCAGACTTGACTGAAATATCTTTCAATTTCTGTAACCTTAAAATTATGAAATTTAAAATATATAACGGTTTTCATGATGCGAACGATTCGAAGATGCGGTTTTCATCAATAGACACATGAGGATCATGAAAATCGCATCAAAATCCGTTGCGTAGTTTAAAAGAGCTAAGCGTAACAGACGGCGCGAAGCGACTTTGTTTTATACTATGTAGATATTCATAAAAGTAAATAAAAATGTGCCTTAGTGTGGGTAAACTATGTTATGCACTAGTTAACTGTGTGAGTAAACTATGTAAAAACTTCGAAAGAAGTATTTTGTCTACGATTTTACAATCTAGATGCAAAGATTTTTTTTTCTAAATTGAAGTGACGATAAATTGACAGTCCACCTGATGGAAAGTGGCTACTGTAGCCAATGGACACCGGCAACCAACTTCAAATAAAGTATGCTACAGGTGCGTCTCTAAAGACCAAGATGGAATAACTCACAGCCTGTAATTTATACTGGCTCCCTATACCCTTCCGGCCGGAACACCGCAGTACACGCACTGCTGTTCTGCGGCAAAAGCAGGTAAGTGGATGGTGGTACCTACCCAGAGACACAGTGGATTCCGCCTAGTAAAAGTAAGTGATGTTAACCTATCGTTGCAAATTGCAATTCTATGCGCGGTCATAATGTACCAGAAGAACATGCAATGGTATCATGCATTTGAGAAATGATATGGTAAGAATGTACCAGGCGCGTATGATTCACTTAGAGAAGGCGAGATGAGCGAAGTACCAACTTGTGGTTAAAATCTCCAGAAAAGCATGACGTACTTGAAAGATTCAAGTTGTTGGAAGAGTTTTTATAGAGTAAGGGTTACAATCGTACATACGGTCTATCTGATGGTACATCTATTCTCGATGAGGAGTGAAAATGCAGATGCGTTGTCACCCCTGAGAACTAAGATGAAATGCATCGTTTCCGCTAAAAAACATGTTTACGAACACTACTAGATTGTGTCGTAAAGTCTGCATGGCTCTACCACGTATAGTTACAAAGTACCAGGCGAGCACGACTCACTTAGAGAAAGCGCGATGAGCGAAGTGTTAAGTAAGTAGGCGCTAAGGCAGTTCCGTTCCAACCCTAATCTTAGGTAAAAATTACCAAGAGAACATAATATATTTGGAAGATTCAAGGAAGTTGAAAGTATAAGGGTAATCGAGCAGACAGTTCACCTGATGGTAAATCTATCCACAATGATGATTCAAAATGGAAATGCGTTGTCACCCTAGAGGACTAAGATGAAATGCCTCGTTTCCAGTAAAAATTGTATCCGATTTTCTTCATTCACTATACGAAACACTAGCATTAAGCTGCTATTTTAGGCTGGTACTGTGTGTGCTATCTTTACCACATACAGTTGTAAAATACCAGGCGAGCATAACTCCCTTGGAGAAGGCGCAGTGAGCAATGTCTTAGTTGTTAGTGCGCGCCCTGGTAGTCGATGGCGACGGCGGCTCATTGACCTTATAAAATACGGCAGCATTAAGCTGTTATTTTACGCTGGTATCGTATGTGTTGGCTGCAGCATGACCGTGCCACGTACAGTTGCAATGTACCAGGCGAGCATGACTCACTTGGAGAAGGCGCGGTGAGCGATGTCCTTGCGGTAGTGCGCGCCGGGGAAGTCGATGGCGGCGGCGGCGGCGGTGGCGGCGGCCGCGGCGGCGCGCAGGGCTGGCGCGCGCGCCGCCACCAGCAGCACGCGCCCGCCCCACGACACCAGCGACCCGTTCGCACCGCGAGCCACGCCGCTGTGGAACACCGCCAGCTCCGGCTGCGACACAACTTGCGACAGCCCTACACACGAACACAGCCTTATAGAACATGCGCAGTTGTCGATTTATGCGGCGCGGGGTGGAAACGGTGAACATTCTTTCACATAATTGGTCCCTTCGAATCAAATGTATCGATACTGTACCCATAAGTAGTATCGGATAAAAAGTATTGTAATCATAAAAGTATCGAAACAAAAGTAGCGATGTTGTAAGGTATCGATACTATTCTCCTTTAACCTTTTGAAACAGATTTTACATTTGTTTATTATTATTTATTTTGTCAAAGAACTTTCGTTAGCCTCACAAAAGTGACCATTGTCTAGAAAGAATTTTTAATATATTTTTCTTTGTGGAAGATATTTCAGCTAATTATGGAATAAGCAGAACCTTTGTACAAACTCACTATAAGACCTGTTTCTGTATCTTGTTGTGTGTTCATAAATAAATTAAAAAAAGAGACAAAGCGACTGTGCAGCCAATACTTCTCTTTCTTGCAAGCCTGATTGGTCCACGTCCTGCAAGCCAGTGACATGGACCAATCAGAATTCTAGAAAGAGACTACTACTGGCCGCATATTTGCTTTCTCTCTCGCACTTTTTTAGTATTCACTGCACAACTGAATACGGAACGCACAGTCCATTCTCTCATGTCTATGGGAGCAACAAAGGGTAGCATAGACTATACAGCCAAGTCAAGTCTTGTAAGAAAAGAACTATAAAAATAAAACCGTTAGGTAGCACTAACATGACATGAAGGATTATTCGAATCAATACTATACGATACTTACTAAAACGTACTAATACAAGAAAAATATAGATTAAAAATATCGAAGGGTATCGGAGGGAAAAGTATCGGTACTTTTCCGTGTCAGTATATATTGGCTGGAAAATGTATGTGCGCCAAATGCTGTCACTTGATACTCACGACTCACGAGGATATTTATACGCTCAAATCAAATCCTAATACGCGAATAGAAATTATGTACATGTATAATGCACATGATCTCTTACCGCTTATAACGCAGCCTTTAGTGGATGTCTCCGGGTATCCCTTGGAGGCGATCACAACTCCCACTGCTGACATCTTCGTGTTCCATGTAACTTGCTGCTGCTTCAGGTTTCCGTTCACGCAAGCCTGAAAACATAAACACAATATGTTAGATAAGAAATTGCAGAATAAAAAAATTATTCAGGTATTGATCTGTTTATATTTCTTGAATTAATTGTAATTAATTTTTAAAGTTTTATACGTGGTAGAGCCATGCTGCATATATTAATTGTATAGTTGTAGCACGAATGGATCGGCTGACTGGAGAAGGACCACGCCCTTACACAGAATACCAGCGTAAAATAGCAACTTAAAGCTGCTGTGTTTCGTATGGTGAGTGTAGAGAACCGGAGACCCTTTTTACTGGAAAAGAGGCATTCCATCTTAGTCCTCACGGCTGACAACGCATCTGCATTTTGATTTGCAATAGAGGATAGATGCAGATGTCTATGGGCCACAGCAACCACTTATTATAGGTGGACTGCGTGCTCATTTGTCACCTTTATAATATATAAAAAAGTTTTAAGTATTATGCAGAGTTGGGAAAACGTATGCTTTTCATAGTAAACATTGTTGAGGTTTAAATTAACGATAGACAGAGACCCATTTGAGCTCTGAAGACAACTTAAGTTTTCTTTACGCTGTTATATTTGATCACTGCACATACATAATAAGATTGGATTGTCTTATTGGTCTTGTGGTTGTATGCGCAATATCACTGATCATGAGCTCCCAGGTTTGAATTCCGGATCGCGTCAAAATCATTAGGGTTATTGGTTTTGTCTGTCAACAAATTCTCAGTATAAGCCTGGAGGCAGTAAATTTTTAGTGTTTCATCCCCGTGCCTCGAAAAGCACGTAATGCTGTTAGTCCTGCGCCTGATCTCTCTCTCTCTCTCTCGTGTCGGGTATAAATAGTGCACTGTGCTTGCGGCACACACTCATGTACTCTCCTGTCCTGTGCAGAGGCTAGTCTCCGTTGAGACCTTGAGACTGGCCACCGTGATCGGAATTCGGTCAGGTCATTATTTTTATTATTATAATGAAGATAATCACAAAAATATTTCAAACATATATAAAACCATAATATAAAACACATTTACCTTCATTATGTCATAGAGATCGCTCTCCAACAACATCATAAGCACTTGCGTTTCAGGGTCACCAAATCTGCAGTTGAATTCGAGGGTCATCGGGCCCGATTTGGTGATCATCAGGCCCGCGTACAAGACGCCTGCCAAGGAAAACACGTTTGTTAAAATAAAATACAGGCTGTTTGAAACTTTTAGAATCTAAAATTCCGAGACTGAGTACATAAAAATATTTCTACCACTAAGTAGCAACTTCTGTGTTTTACTGTTGTCCCACTGTTGTGTTGCGTTTTTAATAGTAAAGACAGTTTTTTTTTTAATATAGTATAAGGGTGACACCCCTGAGGACTAAGATAGAACGCCTCGTTTCTAGTAAAAAAGGTCTCCAGTTCTCTACACTCATACGAAACGCCGTAACCTTAACTTACTATGTCACGCGTTTAACATCAATTATCAATGAGTAACCTTAAGTTGCTATATTTTTATAAACAACATGAAATATTTGCTAATGCTTGCCTCATCTCCCGAATGGAATAATAAACCTTGGCATTGCTTTATACAATCGTGTTTGTTTGCTCGTTCGATACTAATACAGTAACAGACGCAACTTTTCAGTGTATTGCTTATAATAAAAACCATGTTGCCATCGATTCACGTGAAATGAACTGTAATTACATAATAATAAAATCTATATTAAGAATAAATTGTACGTCTTCTAAATTAATTGAGTTGATGTTTACGTCGACTTATCGGTGTTTTCTTATTTGTGACGCTTTTTCAACAAGTATATACCTAAATTAATTTATTGTAATGTTTTGTCTATCTATCCGCAACTTCGGCGCTTCATCATCAATCAATTATTGCCAAAAATAATACATTAAATTGAAACGAGGGCAGTGGAAAAAATTTCAAAAATGTATTCAATTGTTTTGTAACAAGGCCTTGTAAAGAATTTCCAACTGTCGCACATAACTTGAGAAATTCACTAGGGTTTGTAAGAGCAAAGCTGATACCCCCGTGCTGATAATGCTGCTATCGCACGTCTCTCGAATTCAAGGCAAATTTACGAATAGTATTACCGCGCTATTAGTCGGTCGCCAGAACCTCGATCGTTAATTAGCAGAGTGAAGGTGCGTTTAGCATTTGGAGAAGAAATTTTTACGCATAATTAAAATTATTTCTGTATGAGATACTGGCCAGTTGTTAATTACTTTGAAAATACGATTAATATTCTCCAGACCGAATTTCGGTCACGGCGGCCAGATTCAGCGGCTACTAGCCATCTGCGAAGGACAGGATAATAGCGCACGAGTGTGTGCACGCGCATACGTAGGTGCACTCACTATTAACTCCACCGTACCGGAGAGAGATCAGACGCAGGATCAACGACTTTTCTAGGTGAAACACCGCCAACTTCTTGACTCCGGGTTACTACTAAGAATTTCTTGATAGAAAAACTCACATAATCAACAGCCGCACTTACAAACACTAGAATTTAACGAGTTAAATTGAATTATTAAAAATAAATCAGCACCAGGAACATTTTAGAAAGATGATTTTTTGTCATATCATGTCTACAATATCGTCTTAAACCGGTTTAATAGACTTCAAAGGCGTTTATGGATAAAGGTTCTTCTAAGGTCACCGTGTATCGCTATTATAACAAATTTCAGCAAGGTCTACTAACTTTAAAAGAGATGAAGAAAGTAGTGGTCGAGTCGCCCTTTGAATTATTATGGAAGAAACGCGCTAGCTGTGACAAAATTATTGCAGAATATAGGCGAATTCCGTATGAAGAGATTGAGCAGACATTGCATGTTACGGCCTACGGCTGCTCTCTTAAAGGATCAGACCTTCAGGGGCCCATGAGCTGAAGACCTCTCGAGCAGACGTAGGTCGGGCCTCCTAAGGCCACGTGGAATCTCTCTAATTACACTAAAATATATGGGGGAGCGTTATACTACGGCCAGTCGACCGGAAGGAATTTGGCGGAGTTCACTTACCTCGATCCAAGACGACTGGTCCCTCCGGAGTCGGTCAGGTCGCATGTAGTTGTGTAGTGCAAGGGAAAGAATGGTGATGTGGTGTGTATCTGGGTGTGACTGATGGTGATTAAACCTGGACCTTAGCCGTCGGCAGCAGCCCGAGCGTCGACACCGCTCCAATTTGAGGGGGCCTTTCGAGGTTATCCACAGTCACTTTCTTGGTTCACCACGATGACAGTCACTTAACTCTATCGTACTATTAACTAGCTTACAGAAGCCACTAACTATCGCGGGGTATAAGGTTACCGCACAAAACACGCCCGGAGTTTCTGGGTCAAAGGTCACTACCGTTTCGCGTAGCAATAGTTAATTCTAGAATCAGAGGCCGCACTAGCTTATATTGTCGAATGCACTTATACAGATTCTGAGTCGGACCCAATAAGTCCCGGGAAAGGCTATCCAAACAGGGAATGCGCGTTATAATTCCTAGACAGGATATTTACTAGACGCCCTAACTATTCCGCGGTTCCCGCAGAAAATTAACAGCGTGCAAACATTAGCACATCTGGCAGACGACAGACTGCCCTTGGGCGTTTTTCGCACGACCGAAAGTCAAACCGGTATCGCGCCGAGCCGAGTGACATCTCGCGTCAATCCTTGAAAGTGTTTGGCGCGAACAAACCCCCGTCCCGGACATAAGGATTTAGGTCCGCGAGCAAACCGGTCAGCGGGACAAGGTCGCGAAGGCAAGTTGCAAGACCGAATCTACAACCAAACTAGGCCACCTTAGGCATCCCATCAGATCTTGCAACCCTAACCAGCGCCTCAAAAAATAGCCCTAATGTGGCAAGCCGGAGGGTCAGCCTCCACTGGATGCCCCTCCTGGGCATCGCAGCACTTTAACAAGTCCTGTACTGGACAAAAGTCCGACGACCTCTTTCAAACACCTATCTATGCCCCTATGATTAGTTCCGCAATCCGACCGGATCAGCTCTGCAAACAGTGACGCGACACGAAGCGGACTCGAGCGGCCTCCTAAGCTTCAGTGCAGAGAGCACCCACAAATTCCACATGAACGTCGTCTGTGGAGAGCCGAACGAAACGCACAGATAGTCCCTAGTATGAATTTTCAACAAGTAGGCCTAGCCAGGCCACCCACCCTATTATCATTTACTAAAATAGTGCGGCAGCTGATTTCAATCCTATGAAGAAGAAGAAGAAGAAGTCCTATGCTCATATTTCAACTAATTTTTCAAAAGCATCAATGTGCAACTACAGAATTAATTCAACCAAATTAATCACCGATGCGCATAGGTCAACTTGCAAATTAAACAAAACAATAACGTAAGGGACAGCCCTACTTCTTCGCAAAGCAAAATGATTAAACACTATCATAAACATAAACATAATTTTTCAAATAGTGCGCCATTCCATTTCAGATGAATTCAAATTTTCCTTTCAGCAAACAGACGCAACAATCAAATACAGTGATTAAATATATTTACAAAACACATGCAGTAGCATTTAAAGGAGTAGATTAAATTCAATTCTTTTAATTTAAACCGCTACAAATAGGAAAATTTCGCGGAAAGCCCAAACCATTTTTTAATTTTAATTCAAGTATTTTTTGACTAAGTGCTCGACCAAACCAAATCTAATACCCCTTGACAACGTGATTCAACGCTCCAGGGGGGCCCTAATCTTCCCACCACCAAGGGGAGGCCACATGGCGTGAACCCGAGATAAATAGAGCACAACCTTTAACAGTTGCCACTCGGGTTGTACGCCTTCACTGAGGCCGTCGGCAACAGAACATTTTGACAAGTGGACTGTTGACAGCTTAAGGCTCAGTGGAGGCGGCCGTGGTGGGAGCCAAGGCGGCAGCTAGACAGGGCCGCCTCCATCAAATGGGGAACAGTGGTACACCAGTCGCGGCCACTCAGCTAACCGAAGTGAGAAGGGTCCAGCGGACCGATGAGTGGCCGTGAAGTTCCTCTCCACACGCTGAGGGGGGGTGATGACACCCCCGCCCCTGGGGGAATTACCCCCCAACTGCTTGGGGGAGGGGCCCCTTTCAAACTTAGGGGCCTGGTGGATGGCCGGCGAGCGCCGATTGTCGCCCAGCAGAGGGCGTGGCTGAGCGCCCCCGCCCGTGGGGGTCGAGGGCCTGGCAGAGCCCCGAGAGGAGACGCCGTTCGCACCCAGGCACAAAACGGCATGGTGATTGCCCTGGCAATGCAGACAGGGCCATCGATGCGGACAGTCTCGCTGGAGGTGCCCTCCCAGACATGACCAGCACCAGCGGCGCTCCTTGGCGATAGTTCGCCTCGCAGGAACCGGCTTACCTAATAATTTCGGGCACAACGTTACCCGATGATCAGATGCTCGACAATAGGAGCAGGGGGGGGTTGACGACGACTTGCCTGGCGGGTTCAGCCTCTCACTGGGCACGTCTCGTAAGTCGTCAACGGTGCCCGCCGCGTTCTCGATCTGCCGGCACTGCTCCTCTAAAAACCGCAGCAGGTCATAGAAGGGCGGAATATAGGAGGCCTCGTCCCCGCCGTACCTCTCCTCAAAATGGATTCGAAGGTCGAGAGGTAGACGGGACAGCACTATGCGGAGCAACAAAAAGGCCCATTCGCCCACTGGTAAACCCAGCCGCCTCAATGTATTACAGGCCACCAAGACTGGATCCAACAGGTCCGGACGCAGTCTGGCCCGGTCACTAAGCAGCGGGAGGCTTAGAAGCTGCTTAACATGCTCGTCTGCAATTCGCCGGATGTTGGCGTATCTTCTGGCTAGGAGGTCCCGAGCAGTCTGGTAGGCGTCGTCCGACAATTTCAAGTGGCCGACGACGCCCAGGGCCTCCCCCTCCAGTGAGGCCAGGAGGTACGCCATCTTTTGTCTCGGGGTCAAGTCACTCCGGGCGTCCACTAGGCTGTCGAAAAGACCAACGAAGGTCAGCCATTCGGAAAGGACCCCGGAGAACTTTGGCAGGTCCAGAGTTGGGAGTCGTCCCAACAGCTCCGGCTGAAGCGGCTTCAGAGAGGACTCGGGCAGGTTACTCATCCGAGCTTCACGCGCCTCCTCGGCATACCTGCCTTCAGCCTCGATCAACTCGTCCGTGAGCCACAAGAACTGCTCATAGTCCGCAAAGC